CCCAGCCCCTGTCCCCATCCTCCCAGCCCTTGTCCCCATCCTCCCAGCCCTTGTCCCCATCCTCCCAGCCCCTGTCCCCATCCTCCCAGCCCCTGTCCCCATCCTCCCAGCCCCTGTCCCCATGCCCGTCCCCGCCTGCCCGGTCGCTGCGGTGCCACCTCCGGGGGTTCTGTCCCCTCGCACAGAGCCGGGAGCAGGCTGTGCCGCAGGGGTTTTTCCTCTGGAGGGTGTTTCCGTGCTGCTGGGGCAGCAGGAGGGTGGCTCAGAGCCCAGCTGCGGGGTTAGGGGAGCCTGCTGTGCACCGAGGGGCTGTGCGAAGCCAGGGGCTGAACACAGGTGTGGTGGAAATAGAAATTAAAGGTAAACGAGAGAAATGTTAGTGGCAATGTCAGCTTAGTTGCTGGGCTCGAGCTTGGAGGTATTTTTCAGCCTTTTGGGCTGAACAATATATGAAGGATATAAAGTTCTTAGGGAGCATCCAAAGGAGGGCCACGAAGATTGTGAAGGGTCTGGAGCAGAAGCCATGTGAAGAGCAACTGAAGTCACTTGGTTTGTTCAGACTGGAGAAGAGGAATCTCCATCAACTCCCCCTCCCTAAGCCTCCCTTGCTGGTTCTGGTGTGTGAACGTTTTGGAGTGTGTGGCACATCACTTTTGCCTTCATCCCCATCCTCCCCTGCCGACCTCCCTCCCTGCATTTGTGCTCAGTGGCTGTGTGTACACAGAAACCTCATGCTGATAGAAAAGTCCTTTCCTTGTCATTAGCCAAGTTCTGCTGTAAGTCAACAGAGATAAGTAAAACCAATAGTGAAACAAGAGCTTTGCTTCACCAAGCCCACATTTATAGGTAGACAGGATCCCTGTCATAAAGCAATATAAAGATACAAGATTTGCAGGACCTGAATGTCTGAAAATTTGCCTTTTTTTTTTTTTTTTCCCTCAAAAAATAAATTGCCTGTTACTACAGGAATCACCCTTAAACTATCAGGCTGCAGCACTGCTAACACCTCATGACTCCTTCATTCAGTGCCTGATCCTATCTCTGAGCAACTGTTTGCAGCAAATGTAATGCTCAAGTGCTTTGTGAGTCATTTGATTTTAATCAAGTCTGCTCATCCATCACAGTCCTGTGGGCCATTGGCTGGGAGAGACTGTGCCAGCCAAATCCCACGTCCTCCCCTTTATGCCAGGGCACTTGATAATCAATCCAAATCATATGGCAGCAGGTTTTGATGTAGGAAATGAAATGTGTGTTGATTTATCAGTGTTCTGGGAGCAGCTTCTGCTGCTGTTATTTATTATGCAGCCAAAAAGGACAAGACCCTGGCAAGATGATGATGGTGGGATTTGGCCTCTGTTTAGTAAATTTCCTGGCTGATGCTGGTTAGGAGCTATTCATGCAATGTGTGAATACAGGGCTGGTTGTAGAAATCCAGTGTGATGGTGAAGTGGAACAAGTATTTGCTGTGTTTGCAGGGCTGGCTGCCTGTGCTGGCTGGGGGAACTCGTGTCCCCTGTCCCCTCACAGGCTGCTCTGCCTGTTCATTCTGGTGCTTGGGGATCTCCTCTTTGCTGGACCTTTTCCAACACCCTGAGGTCTTGCTGGCAGCTGGGGAGGCCTAATTGTGGTGTGGTTATTGGCAATTAAACTGTGTCCAAAACAATTTCCAAGCTTTTTCAGATGAGTGTTGTTGACATCTGTGCTCACTGTGCACAAAGAAGTGTGAAGGTGGCAGCAAATTTTTATGGAAGAGATCTGGGGTTAAAATAATCCTTTTGGCCATGGTGCAGCTTCATGCATTACTGCCACAGCATGGTGCAGACAAAAAGAAAAGGCACTTTGGGCCACATCTTTACCTTCCCCTGTCAGCTTGGTTTCCTAAAGGAAAAGCCTGATGTGACCATACACGTGTGTTTATGTACTCCTTTTCCCCCCCAAAGATAAATTTGAGTCTGTGGGCCACTTCTGCCAGATTTGACAAGGGGTGAGACCTCCAAAATAAGGCATTCTAAATCCTAGGAAGAGAGACATGATGAGCAAAAGATCCCCAAAAGGAGGGGACACTGCAGTGTGAGCTGGCTCTATCTGACAGTGGGGAAGGAGCGTGCCTGGGTGACACCACTGAGGGAGAAGCTTCAGTCCGATCTTGCAACCAGCCATGGATACAAGTGTGTCTCATATTTCCTTCTTTCTGCACAGGGACTGCGTGGGGTGCAGTCCATACAATCACGAAGCCACAGGAGTTGCTTTTGATGGATTTAGCAAGGCTGTGTATGGCAATATGGGAGTAAAGAGCCAGGTAGAGTTGGCATGGAGCCTTCTGTGCTTAGTCAAGGGCAAGTTGAGACTGATAACAATAAAGCAGGGATGCAGCCAATGTCTCTTTTATTGCTTCATATCCTCATTTTAATGGGAAGGCTGTAATTAAGGGAATTTAGCTCCAAGCTGTGACCTCACGGGCTGATACTCACATCAGATGCTGCCTTAAAAATAACTCATTAGAAATCAGGGAGTCTTCCTTAGCAGTTCATCTTTTAACAATGCAGTTCCTCCTGAAATACTGGTTTCCAGGCCAAAACCTTGACTGGAATCCAGGGGACAGAACAAGGCAGCTTTGCATGCAAATAACCTCTCCAGCAACATCAATAGGCTGTTCTTTCCCCTGCTCTCCTCTGCTCATCTCTTCTGTTCTGAAAAAATGATGGAAAACTACTGAGTACCAATTGTCCTCTGTTAAAAATAATGGTGGAAGTATCCTGCTAACAGGTGATGGAAACTTTTGCCCTTGCATGTCTGCTAGGCATGGTTTCTGTGGAAAGTTTCTGAACAGCTTTGTAATATTCTGCTCTGGCTTTGTGCAATTTTAGAGCTCCAAAGAGCTGTTTGCTGCTTCAAAGAGAGGGTGAACCCTTTTTCTGGCAATGATTTGATAAGGTAGGGGTTAAAGGAATTGCCTGGTGGTGGATGATTGCAGCACTACATGAAAGGATGCCCAAAGCTTGAAAGCTTGAACTTTGATGAGCAGACAGCTTTTAATTCAGCCTATCTCAAGGTAACCGTGTCTGCAGTGGCTGAGGCTGTCATTTGGTGCCACCAGAGTTTAGACAGCACCAACAGAGACAATTCCCAAGCCTGCCACACCCACGGTGAGCTCCAAGCCTTGCAGTTCTGCCCTCCCCATGCCAGTGCCCACACCTGTGGGTCTGTGCTGATCCGCTGAGTGATGCAGGGTCAGCGGGCTATAAAACACATCCCGGCTCCTTTCTCCCAGGGTAGCTAAAGTATTTTATCCAGGTCACTGTGGCCCCACCAAGCCACATGTTGGCAGAGCAGGAGTGGTGGGCTGGTGATGGACAGCAGTGGGTGAAGTGACACGTAATCAGCAGATCGTTTGTTTGCAGACTTCTTATCTGGAGGCGTTTGCATCAGAACTCTAAATCAAGCAAAGCTGTATGTGAAAGGCACTCCTGACTTGCAGAGGGGGTCACAGGAAGGGTAATTTTGTTAAGCTTTTGAAAGAATAAAATAATCATTAATGAACTGTTCTCTGCATTGGTGAAGTGACATTCATCTGGAGATGTAAACATATTTATGAGGAAGAAGAAAGATGAGGGCTTGTATCTTTGATACTGCTCCCTCAGAGTTGGTTGTTCAAAATTTAGAGCCTTGGGCCCTGACACTGAAAGCAAGAATTACTTCTGGCTCAACTCAGACCATGTGAGCTCTCAGCATTTCATAGGGCTGGTGTGAGAACTGAGGTGTCCATGACACAGCAGCTAAAATTAGTTTTGAAAAGAGAAAAAAAAAAAAGAAAGAAAAATCTTGATGGGAGAAAGGATAAATCCCAAACAACCTGCCCAGGATCAGTGGCTGATGCAGGAAGCAAGTCCTGCTCTCCTCTCTGCCACTTCCTGTAGCAGAACCATGTTGAAATCAGTAAACATTGGACAATTCTGCACAATCAAACACTCCTGCACAGCAGGATGTCACCCACAGAGCTGCAGTGCAGCCTCAGGGCACATTGGAAAGATCAACAGAGCTGCCTGGTCATGGTGTAAAGTTCATTCCCAATTTTATGTGAAGAATCATTGCATTTCTGTTCCTCTTAAACCAGGAAGCTGTTCCCACGAGGAAACCTTGGGAAGAAGCTGTGAAAGGGAACAGCATTTACAGTGTTTGGGCTGGAGCTGATGAGCACAGGAGTCCCACTCCCTTAGACCCATGTCAGTTGTTTCTCCCTAATTCCTCAGCTCCCAGAAGATCTTTTCCCCTTGGTTCCCACTTCTTTTTCTGCAGTCAACAACCACGGCTGCTCCTTGGATGCTTTCAACACAAAACTATGAATGGTTTCAAATGGAAATTTGGGAAAATAATAGCAAGGAGAATCTCCTGGAAAAAAAAAAAAGGTCCCTGTGGAGTTAACAAGGCTGCAGTAATGAGAAGAAATTAGCTCCTCAGTTTAGCTTTGAGTAGAGCCTGTCAAAATCTATTAAAAATGCTTATATGATTTTCTCTTCCCTGACCCTCTTATACTAAAACAAGTTTTAAAATGAAAAATGTGTTGCGCAAGGAAGTTCTAGGAAGTTCTTCTCAAAAATCATTAACTTTTTGATAGGAAAATATGTGTGTTTTGGTGTTGGCCACAAAGACTCATATTTTTTTCCTTTGGTTTCTACAAAAGCTTGACATTTTTATCAAATCAGCTGATTTTTTTTTTTGTGCAAGGTGCAATTGAAGCCTCTCCCCAAATAACAGTCATCACAATGATGATGACACCACAAGCTAAATTCTGCCCATTTCATGAATGAGCCCAATTTTTATTTCTCTTCATCACAAAAGTCATCCCACATTTGTTGTACACACTGTTGGTTGCTGTGTTACGGGACATATCACCAGGTATCAGATGCTTTACTCTTGCAGAAGCACTTCTAATGGAGATGGAAGCTTCTGTCGGCTGAAATTTTAGAACAACAGCAAAAAATAATAATACAAAACCAAAATATCATCTTCAGCTGCATAGCAAATATGGATCAAAAATTTAACACTGTATCAGATCACAAGCGTAAATATACCTCACCATAAATAAAATTCATTGTACAAAATAACTCAAGCAGCTTTTCATACAAATATGGTACATTTGACAACAGTTTTTGAGAATATTTTCTTGGTTTTTTTACAGCTTTGATTCTTTTCTCTTTTGTTCTCCAATACACATGAACCTACCGGACTGGAGTAACGCAGGAGGAAAAGGACTAATGTTCAACGCTCCTAAGTGCTGTCAGAGTTTAAAAAGAAAAACACTGAAGTGCTGAATTTGATCTAGTTTGCTTCCCCTTTCTATTGTAGCATTGCAAGTCAAGTGTAGAAAATCCCAGAAAAGCATGTGCACTGCCAACAGTGACATTTTATAATGGCAGAGTCAAAGGGAACATTAAAATAACCCAGTCTGACTTGGTGCAGGACACAGGCCACCCTCTCTCCCCCCTGTAATTCCTGTGTGGAGCCAACCACTGGCCTCTGGAGTGGACATTCCAAGTGGTGGCTGGTGAGTGCTGGGGAGTTTGCACACCACTTCAGCAAAGCAGGAAAATACAGGTTAAAAAGCAAGTCCATTGTCAGTGGACTTGGGAGGATTCAGACAGGGGTCAACATTTTCCTGAGAAAACAACATTAGAAGTCTGCAGATTATAAAAGATGGAAAAATACAGGACTGAAGCACAGACTCCCAAACTTGGCAGAAAGTCTGCAAGTATGGGGAATATGCCTGACCCCCTGGCAATCTGCTACTATTTAGCCCTACTCTTACAAATTTGCTCCCTATTTTCATTAACAATTATGACATTTAAAAAAGTTTGGGAGGAAAAAAAAAAATCTGTTTTCATGGAGTTGTTTAAAGACCTAAGCCTGGACCTTTCTCATACACAAAGAGGGTGAGAAAACTGAAGATAAGCAGTATATTAATCCTTGAGATAATCAAAGGACAGTAAGATCAAATCTCAGAAATTAAGACTGTGATTATTACTAGCTGGTATCTCACACTACTTGAGCAACAAGGCAAAAGCTCTGCATATGCTCTACAGTCAAAACACTTTACATTTTTGTCATGCACTTTGACATTTTGCTCAAAACATTTAATCCCTTGGAATCTGGAGGGATTTTCCATTTTTGCTAGCAAATCTCAGGGCAACAAATAGATTTCAACTACCTGTTCTTTCAAGAACAGCCTGTACAACTTTCCAGTGCAACTGTGTTTTGCAGGGTTTCAGAGAATTATGGCAAAACTAGAGGAAAAGAATGCAAAGATATTTACAGATTATTAGGTAAAATATCTCATGACTCACTCCAGACCTAAACTGATGAAAACAGGGATTTAAATTCACCTTACTATATCCCATTTTGTCTAGGTAGCTGAGAATGGGCCATTTGGTGGAGTTCATCCTTTTGTAGCAGCTTCTTGTTCGTGCTGGTTTCCCAGAAGATTCCAGCATTCCATAGCTTGTCAGATGTAGTAGGACACTTAATTTCTGCTGTGCCTAGAGGTGGCTCTGAAAGCCAAAGAGGGACTTGTGCCAGCTTTTCAGCAAGACTTCCATACCAAAATAACAAGCACTTACTATTTAGATCAGGAGAAACAGGATCTTGATAAGATCTATCTTCCTCGCATCTTGTTTTCCATAAAAAATAAAGTGCTTGATTTTTCTCTTCCTTTTAAAAATATATATATCTATCTCTAGATACCCTCACTCCAGTAGTGCAGAAGTGCTGGAACATGATGGAACATGTGAACATGTGAAGAACTGACATTCTTAGTGGAGTGAGTAGGGAGCAAGTCCCAGATGCTCTTCTGCTGCTCTTGCTCACGACACGGAGGAAAGAACTCGCCTTGCTGGGCTGGGTCCTTCCTTCCCTGTCACTCCAAGATTTCAGCCAGACTTCCTGAGATTTCATTTTACTTTCAGATTACTGTGCTGCACAATTTCCTCCCTGCAGCTGTAAATGTCTGTCTCAGTAATTAAAGGAAACTCAAGGTGTGAAAATGTCCAGCACTTGTCACACGTGGGTTATTTATTGATTATCAAGGATGAGAGTCTGGGAGCACAAATTCATACCACACACCAAGATCTCCTCTTGCCAGCAGTAGCTTGCTGGCTGCTGTTTCCTAAGACAAAAACTCCAGCTGGGATATTTCTACCAATTAATTATATGTTCCCTCTGAGAGAATAAATGCCCAGGCTCTGCCTTTTAAACATCTGTAACAGCATGCAGTTTACAAGCATGATGAAATGCATGGAAGAAATACGTATTATCACATCTGGATACAGCAATTTTTGCTGTGGCCAGGCTAAAGCTGAGGAAACACTGCCAGTGGTGAGGCTGGCATCATTTTCTCTTGGAGCATATGGTTTGATCTCCTTTCACATCAAGCACAAGCTGTTGTATCACTACAATGACACTACTGAGGGGAAGCAGGTTAGACCAGGAGTTATGAAATCCTCCTTGAAGTTCCACCTGAATTTGTTCTCAATATCCAGGAATCTTACATTAGCTGACTGGGAAAAGGAAACAGACTCCAGTGTTCTCTCTGAACAACTCTGAACTGGGTATTTTTAAAATTCTGGGTATTTTTTAAAGCTTATCCTATATTTTATCTTTTCTAAACAATCACATGATTTCTGAGTGATGGTAAGTTTCCTAAGCCCTGCTGGTAGTCACCATTCTCTGGAGAAAGGTATTTGTTTACTGTGCCACTAGGAATTCGTCTAAACCAAGGGAAAATAGCATCCCAGAACACACACAGATTACACACCCTGGCTCTCACCCTTGGCTGAAGAACAAAGATCCCCTATGTTCAAGGTAACTACACCTGCATCCTGTCAGCACCAGTCATTATTTCCACCCAAATTAATATGTTTGAGAGCACATTCAAATGAATGCAGCCTCTTCTGTAGTCCACAGGAGATCTGGTTTAGTCCATGGAAGATGTGTCTTCAGGGGAGAACCTCTGTAAAAATAAGTGGATGTCCCACAGTATGGAAAAAGCCAGGCTGTTTTCTCTTTCCCCAGCTCTCTGAAGTGTTGAGGAGTTATCTGGTGACTGCATCATTGCTGTTCTCAAGCCCACATGCCAAAGCTCCCCCTACAACTGCTGGAAAGGCCAAGGACACAGCAGAGAGCACGAAGAGAGAGCACAGAGAGACCCCAGCCCGGGGCAGGCATCCATCCACAACCGGCCTGGCAGGGCTCCTCTGCACCCAGTCCTCGATCCTCAGGGCACTGCCATGGCTAACACCCTGCCTTCATCCCTTCTTCCCCTCAAAGAGCGGGTCAGGGACTTGCCTTCAGCCCCTCCTGCTCCGTGGCTGGTGGCACATGTCACGGGGGCGTTGATTCCTCCCGCTGCTGCTGCAGTGGGAGCGGGTTCCCGGCGCCGTGGGAGCGCGGAGATCTCCCACCTGAGGCTGCAGTATGGCTTCAGAGCGACGTGTGGACTGTGTGAATCACAGGGAAAACCGGACCACTTCATGGAAGAAAAGCACATTTTGCCCGCCCACCCCCACCCCCCCTCAAGTCCGAAAGCTACGAGAAAAACCGATCACAGGGATGGGACAGAGGAACATGCACTCAAACGGGGCCGAGGGGAAGATGTGTCCTCGTGTGGAGAGGCAGACCCAGCCTCACTCCCTTGTCAGGCCTCACACCATCAAGATTACCCCTCCCAGCTGCTTTGGGTTCAGTCCCTGCTCCCTTCCCAAGCCACGCAGGGTCCGTGTCCACACTAGCAGGTGGTGGCCAGCGACTGGTGGATGGGGGGCTGGAAGCAGCGCACGTGCTCCACCGTGGAACTGTCTGTTTCCACTGACTTCATGTACTTGTTCAGGATGGCAAAGATCTCGTTGTTGAGGATCTGGTACTTCCTGATCCTGTCGGCCATCTTCTTCAAGGGCTGGAGGGATGGTGAGGGAGAGAAACAGCGCATGAACGGTCTCATGTCATCTGACCAGCTCAGAAGGAGCAGAACCTGTGCCCTGCTGCTGCTGGAAAGCTCTGCTGAGGCAAAGCAGCTCTAACACATGTTCCTGTTCCACTTAGCACCTCGCAGGGACCGCTGACTCGCTTCATTATTGGCTTTAACGATTCAAGACAGAGCATTAACAGGATCAGTGAGTGGTCCTAAGTTAACTGTTCCAGAGTCTAAGCTCCCAACTGCTTATTGATAAAGCCACCGAGATCACAGGATGGCTGCTGGAAGTACCAGCTCCTCAGGTCCAGCTTCCCAACCCCAGGAAGAAGAGGAAAGCTTTGGGAGAAAAAAGATTTGATTTTCAAGCCAATTAAAACCTTGGCCTCTCTGCTGAGACTGCAGATGGAAACCTTACAGCAAGAACATCCAGTAGGAATAAGATTAACACCGGGCTTTGTTGTAATTGATGAATTTGGACAAAGCAGGATAGAAAACAGAAAGAATTGTGCTGGTTTGGATCCTTTGGGACCTCACCCCTCAACTTACCACGTTTTTTATGATTTCATCCTTCCCATCCTGCCTCTGCACCTTCAGCAGGTGGTAACAGAAGTCAAAGAGGTCAAAGCGCCGTTGTTGTCCAAGGAGAACGATGATAGAGCAACCTGCCCAGTTCAGACCATCTCCAAAGCACTGCCTGGAGGGAGGAACAGGGTGATGGGTGGGAAGAGATGACAGGATAGAGTTAGGCAAGAGAAGTACCACGGCACCAGGAACCTTCCTTGGTGAAATCGGGTTCAGTCCTGCTTCTAGAAAGTGAGTATACACCTAAAGAAAATGAACCCAGAAGGAGATAATACAGAATTACACCCAGGCCAGGCTGTGTAAGGGTGAACCACAGGGTAAGATGGGTGAGAACCTAGTTGTGGGTTGTTGGCCCATCTACCCATCTCCTGCCTGTCACCTGGGGCATGTCCCTTTACCCTGCCCTTTCCTCCAGCTGCTACAACACAAAGCTGAGCACAACAAAGTCCTTCCAGCAAGGACCCACATTCCCACTCCACCTCCACAGAGGCTCTCACTGCAGCTGAGGGCACCCCGGGGGCTGGCCAGCCCTGTCAGTGCCTGGGGAGCCCAGGAGCTGCCTGGGGACACTCACTCTGCCGTGAACTCGTTGGTGCCCACGGGGATGCAGTACACGAACTGCATGGCGCTCCAGAGCCGGTGGAACTCCACGCACTCGTCCACGTGCATGACCCCGTTGGTGGGGGGCGGCCCGCGCCAGATGGGGTCCTGCAGGTAGCTCCGGATGCGCGTCAGGATCACCTCGAACATGGAGAGCCCGCAGCACAGCCGCTCCTTGGTCAGCAGGTCCCCCTCCCGGGCGATGGCTATTTGCTGAGGACAGGGACAGCCAGAGGGACACGAGTGAGGGTGTGACCCACACCTTTAACGCTGCCTGGTCTCTCCCCGGCTCCTTCGCCTCGTGGGAGCTCCAACCTTACCTTTGATGGCTGTTCCCACGGCACTTCCCACCAGAGAATACACATCCCTCAAACAGGAGGTTTAATGCTCTGTTTCACTGACCTCAGTATCTTTTGGAGTAGCTATGTACGTCAGAACACCAGAGCTGAAGGCAAAGCTCTGACCAGAAATACTGATCCTTCAATCTGCTAGCATGCTGTTCTGCCCTGTTAGTGCTACTCAGCCTTTGGTTTCAGGATTTTCATTTCATGGGTTTCGTCTCATCATTTCTGCAGATTATGAAGATAAAACAGGACAGAACAGGGACATTTTGCTTCCCAGGACATTGCCATCATCTCTTCAAAATGCAGATAACCTACGGCTTTCTTGATTTCTTTTGTAGTTAGAGTTAAAAAGCTCTGAGGAAGATGAGAAGCCACTGCAAACTTGATACTGAAAACCCTGTGGTTTGTAAGAAAGCCAAACAATTTTTTCCCAGATGTGGAAGCTTTACAGGCGTGGATCATTTCTGTGACATCCCTGCTCACATTTAGATACACAAATCTGGAATAGTTCCACTGGATGAAATTATTTTGGCTTTTACACTAGAGGAAAATTAAAAGCGAATTAATTAACTTCATTTCAGACCCATTTCTCCCCAAGAGGACATAAAAAAAAGCAGGGGGGATTTAAAACAAGCAAGTAGGGCCTTCCCTCAAGCTCACTGAGTGGTGCAAGCGTGGGGGTCTGTCACTGCCCTGGTATCCTCTCAGCTGCCCCATTTCCTGCTGTTCCAGCAGCAGGACTGACTTCTGTTTGCAGTGCTGCCAAAAATAACTCAGGAAATAGGAGCTGAGTGCTGTCAGAGGCGTGCAGTGGCTGTGGGAGGCTCTGTGCTCACCTCTGCAGAGTGGCAGAGCCTTTCAGCCCTGCCACCACTCTGGAACAGGCACACAGAACAAGCGTGGCACTGACTGAGAGCCTGCCTATCCCAGAGGACTTCCTGGAGCTTTAAGCAGTTTTTAAGCATTTGCTCCATTTCCTGCTGTCCCTGTAATGCCTATAAAAATGTTATCCCAATCAGCCATGATGGGGACTTGCAGCAGCTGGGACAAAGGGCAGGCACATGTCCTGGCCAGACATTAAGAACATGAATTATGCTTGGTTTGCTTGGGTCATCTTCATTCCGCTCTGAAAAATGCATGAATGTACCTGCACATCCCTGTTCATGATTATCAATTCATGCTGGCAGTAACCTCAAGCATTTTTAGTTTGGTTGCTCTTGAAATTAGAAGCATTTGAATTCTTGCTTGTGCCACCATTTCAAGGATGTTCTGGGGACCTCAGCTCAACTAGTGGTCAACTAATAAGCAAATATCAAGGGAAAGCTGTCATCATGTGCAGAGGCCACATTTGGTGTGGGATCCCTCGATCTGTTAAAAGCAGGAATGGTATCACTGGTTCCATGGCACACACCTGCATGTGTTTGGTAAGTAAAGGTTTATTTTATCCAGCTTTTTAGCTAAAGGCTGTACACTGTTCTTCTCCTCACCTGCTCCAAGCTCTTATGGGCACAGATCTGCACACACTGGTCTATCATGGCAAAATAAGGGCACAGTAGAAACAGAGCCATTTCAAATATAAATTAGGTGTCAGCATTACTGAAACATAGTGCTAAAAGGGATACTTTTGAGAACAGACTTCTCCAGTGATCTTGGTACACGATTTTTGAAGAAATCTTAATTTAGAAAGGGATGCATCTGGCTTTCAGTGTAGGTAGTGCCACTCAGTTATGCACATTCACAGAGTTTTGTTCTAAAATTCATCACAGTAAGACCAGTCTTTGACACAGGACTGCCATCCTAGGGTAGGTATCTTAACATGGGAGAGCTGTTGGCCCTGTGCTCAGAGCTGCTTCACAGTCTGGGCTCCCACTGATTTCTAAGATCAGGAGAGGAAGGATGCTCTCAAGGTAAATTGTCACAGGATGTCACTGTGCTGACTCTATTATTCCTTCTGTCTTCAGAAGCAAAGGCTCTGATTATTTCCAGGGAGGAAACCAGACTGACCAAGCACTTTTGAAAACCCCTTACTAAATACCTTTATGGTCAGCATTAAAAGGGTGAGGATTCCTTTAATGAACCACTTTGACCCCCCTGGTTCTTTATAGATGGTCCATCAAACAGCAGCTTCTGGATTTCCAATGCAAAGTAATTATTTACAACAATCATTGGCAGTTTTCCTGACATTGCACAAATCCAGTTTTGATTTTCTAGCTTTTGAACCTCTTTTACAGCCTGTTTACTGGTGAACTTCCCAGAACTCTACCCCCAAAACCTGCAAAAAACCAATAGATCCCCACTGTAACATGCATGGGGCTACCTTTTGGGAGAGGCATCGGGCAGGCAACTTCAGCTCAGATTCTGGACAATTGCTACAAGGCATTTATGCATTCTGCAGGAAAAAATCCTGTATGGCCTGTGTCCAAAACTGCATTTCCAAAATGCATGTCCAAAACTGCATAAAAGGAGCAAGCTTAGAAGCTATGGAGGCACCTACAGAAAGCAATTCTTGTGTTCATTTACATTTGAGCTCAAAAAAATTAAAAATCTGGTACCCAACTGTACCTGTGCAATGAATATGGGAACAGTTTACAGAAAAGTAACTTTTTAGGGGGATGTGAATTATCTTTTGTTTCCATCACCATTATAACTACAGCAGAGATAAGCAACGAGTGGACTCTAATAGCAGAATTCAATGATGATTTTGCATGGAAAGAAGGAGAGATAGAAAGACCAACACAAAGACACAAAAACACAGAGGTGAATTCTTTTTCTCGAGTGTCTCCTTTAAAAGGAATTGTCTACAGAGTAAGACAAAGTCCTCAGTTATCCAGCCATTTTCTCTGTTTCAGATGATTTCCAATGATGCAAAGTTCAAAATGTCCTTGATCCATGAGAAAAAAATACAGGAACAAATATCAACCACTTTCTGCCTGCCATAGATCTGTCACCTCCTACACCAGCTGAGTGTTCGTTCCATTCCCTCTTCAGTACATTACAGGAAAAGGGTGCTGATTCATTTTATACTTCAAAAGATTTTTATCCCATCAACCCCAAGTAAATGGGCACTTGAAGTCTGATTATTATTATTATTATTATTATCAATGGAGCACAAATTCTGCCCATTACACTGATCAGTCTATGGAGATATTTTAAACAGCACTGAATTTCTGCACAAGAGATCTTTCCCAAGCTGAGACCCACGTCAAGAAGATAACTTAAATGGAGCCATAATTTTAAGCATGTGCTGAAGCTCTAAGCATGTGCTAGGAGGGAAACCATTCTCAGATGTATTCCTTGACAGGGATGAGCTTAATGGACCACACTGCAGTGCTAAAATGGGGTCCCCAAAAGTGATGGCAATTGATCGTTAGGACAGCCCTGAAAAGATTCTCATCAAACCACTCCAGCAATTCTCCATCTTTTTGACGTGGAGAAGAGGTTTTTGGAGCTGTTCTGATTCAGAACTGGCTTCTAGCTCACTAGCCTTACAGCTCCCTGCCAGCTCTCCTGACTGGAGGCAGCAACACATCTCTGGACCCGCTCACAAGTTTCCCTTCAGAGTGTTTGCTCAGGCAAGGATTCAGATTTGTTCATCCAATTGATGTTTTGGGGGGGGGAAAAAAAAATCAATCAATCAATCAATCAAAAAAAAGAAAAAAAGAAAAAAAAGGATCACTTTTCCCAAGGCCAAGCAGGCCATGTGGGGACTGCTACGAGTTTCCAACAGCCATCCCTTCCAATGCAATCCTTACCTGCGGAGTGCCCAGCCTCTCTATTAGGGGAACCAGGTGAAGTGGGGCATACTTGGCTTCGAGACGCTTCATGCGCACCTCCAAGCGTTCTCCTTCTGTCAAGCGAGCAGCAAACAGTGAAATGAGAGGAGGAAGTGGAGACCCGCAACTTTCCGCCGAGTTTGCTCCGAGCTGCCCCCCAGCAACCATCCGAGGAGACTGTGGGATCGGGGAGCCAGACCGAGCAATGAGGGGCCAGTGATGCAGAGAAGGGAGGGATGGGCGAGTGCAGTCTCAGCAGCAGCTTTATCACACATGTCCAAAGCATGTCCCTGTTACCGAGCACTCCTGTTGAGATGGACATTTCATGCTGTCATTCTCCAAAGAGGCTGTGAAATGGCTTCCAAACCTTAAAGGGAACCCCCAAACTGCCTGAGGTTTCAGGTCACGGCTAGGCTACGGGAAATGCACCCCTGGCTTTTGTTTGCACCTGACGTTTGGCTGTATCCACTGATCTGTTTGGAGGGGGAAGCAGGGTCAGAGATAATCCTCAGCAGAGATGGGAGAGAAAACAGCCTCTGGGCAGAGACCTCTGAGTCTGCCCACTGCTTCCCTCTCAGCTTCTTACCTTTGATGTAGACCCTGGGCAAAATATTTTGGAAAGGAGCAGCATGCAGCAAATCACAAACTTCTTCCTGGGACTGAGGCAGGAAGAAAGAAAGATAAAGTAAGTTAAAAAATATCTGTGGGGGAGACTGAATGGCTCAGGGGCCTGGGCAACACTACAACAGCTCACACCTACAGCACCTACTCAGATCCAACCCAGCTCAGTAGCAACTCCAGTGGTTTGAACCTAAATGATCTAAAACTGGAAGCAACACTTCAGCTTCAGTCAGGAAGTTTCCCTAACTCAAATAAGTTACTTCCTGCCTGTACAAGGCCAGGCCTTTATACTGATTTTCTGTCCTACTTACTAGCCCTGAAGGTAAGAGGGGATAAAGAATATGGAAGCTTCCATTTCATCTTACCCTGAATGAATTCCTGCAGCCTGTTCTTTAGGAGAGGGCCCAGGCAGAAATTACCTTTTGGTTTAGTTATTTTAGGAAGTACACATGAAAAATATACTGACATGTGGCTCTTCTGCAAATAGGTACATCGTAACTGGGCTGAAATGATTTGGTTGTTGGTGTGGTGTTCTCAGCCAGGGCTATCAGAATCCCAGTGGTGCAGGCACCAGGAAGTATAGAACAGAAGTCCAGAGAGGAATAACACCATGAGATGCCACCTGAGGGGATGCATGCCAATGCACTTGAGAAAAAAATAATCCCAAACACAGATGCACAAGGAGGAGAAACCTAGAAATAGGCAGGTGGAGACTGAGGAGCGATGGCCGACAGTACATTGTACACGAGTCTGCAATGGGCAACAGCAGCGAGGAAACCAAAGCTGTTCAACACAGAGGCATCGTGTCACGACAAGGCATCAGCCTGCTCCTACAAAAGCCTATCCTAGGACATGCTTTCAGTTCTGAGCTCACTGGAGAGATGTAGACACACTCGGAAGCAGATCATGACAGCGCAGCAGGAGGAACCCGGGCCTGGATGGAATGACTCGGCTGGGCCTGTTTGGGATGCAGGGGTGGACATCCCCCCTTCCAGCCAGCAGGACAGTGGAGCATGGAGCTGCAGGAGGCTGCACTGGCGCATGGATGCTGGGATGAGAGCAAGTTTGTGGGAGTGCAGTTTGTGACACAGTGCTGGAGGGACAGGAACAGTCTGGGGCCCCTCCGTGGGCACAGAGGTGCTGATGTTAACAGAGTGGGCCTGTCACCTTGGTCATTTTGTTTGCAAAACACTGTTCACTCCTAGGTGAATGTTCTTCTGTTTTCCTCTCATAAAGTGAGCATTTTCAGCCATTTGCAGCCTGCATTCACCTCATATGTGTCCCAAAATTAGTCACGTTACTAACAGACCTCTTCCCCAAGGCCCATTAACTGAGAGCACAAACTCTGCTTACAAATTTCATCCCAAGCAACCCCTCATTCCTCAAACTTAAACAATAAAATGGGGGTAAAATGCAGCAGACTGGACATCTGCATCAGAGCCATTTTTGCCAGGAAATACCACCAGCCTTAGATCACTCAGACAGCTCTGAAGGTAATTGCAGTATAAAAGCAATTCCTGCTGATGCACAAGAGCTCCATTAGAGGGAAAATCTTGTTCTGTGATGGCTCTGTGCATCTGACATCCTCCAGCAAGTGGGAACCAGAGCCCACTGCATGCAAACGAATCTATAACCGTGAGGAAAAACAGAGGATCCAAGAGGGAGAGGCTTTGTCTGGCACAGAAAGTAGGCAGATGTGGACTTTGATGGGCAACCTTCCTTAAAGGATCCCCAAATTCCCACCATCTTTATTTTCTGCTATTCTAAAATGCCAGTACGCTGCTGATGTACAGTTCCTGGGACTGAAGGAACATTTCTGCATTGAAATGAAGGAAGAAACCACCATGTCCCTTGAGTGTCCCATTAAAGATGTGACAGGAAAGGCAAATGCAGTACATCCAGCAGAAAACCCAACACTGAGAACAGCAGAAAGCACTGACAAAGCCACAAAAGAAACAGAAACTGCCAGAATACAGCTGGCAACTCTGGTCATTCTATAAAATTCTATAGAAGCCAAGCTGCTGGGTGATACACATGTCTTGTTTTCTTAATCTTATGCAAGCACTGCTCACTGAATGTGTTTGATACACACCATCAAGAATTAAAAGTCTCTAGATCTGGAGTTAAAATGCAAAGGGCAAGGGCAGATATATGCATTTTGAGGACATGCAGAGACTTTTAGTTTTCTCTGTGCTCTGTGGCCAGATAAAACTTCCAATCTCTGAACTTCCTTATGGCTTTGCTCTGAGCAAAACTTCTGGTTTTGCTTGGAAAGCCTGTCCTATGTTAGGGCAGTAATTTTGAAATACTTCTGGAGAAACAGAAACAACCCTGCCCAAACCATTCTGACACAGTATGCACAGTTAATGCACAATTGTGTTGTTGAGCACTCCTCAGTTGGCTCTGGGAGAAATTATGAGATAAATTCGTTGCTTTGTAAATTTGTTATGTGAAAAACTAGAAGCTAAGAAGATGAGTGGCACCCAGCCACAGCCTTTGCTCCCCACCAGAAAGGGCATCATGTGAGCTGGGAGGCTGAGAGACTTGTGCATGTGTAAAACTCCTGTGCAGGGGACAACACCAAGTTGTTACTCCAGCCAAATTTTCAGTGAAGATGCCCTAGGACATATATACTCAGCATATTTCCTTCCTCTTGGATTGCTTTATCCATTTCACCATTACAGTCAATCAGGCCGTTTCCATTGCACTGGCACCCCAAAAGAGCAGAGGGATCAAATCTACTTCTCACTGTACAAATATGTGTATCAAAAAGTATTGATCCCTGCCCCAGAGAGCTTACAATCTAGAAATTAACTCCAGTTGGTTTTGTTTCTAAGCAGGACAAACAAGGGGCAGCTTTGGGTCCAAGAATGTAACCTGGATCTTCCAGTACTCAGACTCAGCCATCCCAGAGGCCTGACCGAGTGCCAACGCTCACCATCCCCATGGACATCCCCAAAGACTCCAATAACACAGCCCCAGAGAGTCCCTGAGAACATGAGAAGCTGGAAAACAACATTTCCCAAACTCTTCTGCTGGAGAACCCACTGGCACTTCTACTCTTGAGCTGGAAATTTCGGGTACGATGGTGTGGGGGTTTTGCCTTACCAAAGCCTGCTCGATAAGGAGGCAGAAGAGAATGGCATTGCCCACTTCTCTGAGGCTCTGGAACACGTCAGTCTTCAGCTCTGCATACTCAATGATGTCCTTCAGCTGGTGGTGGAAAAACTCCAGGATTCCTTAAAAGAGAAGGAAGGACTGTCAGAAAGAGACTGGAATCACTTCCCAGAAATTTGGATAAAAAGATGATCAGTGTCTGGTATTTCCTTTCACAAACTGCAGCTGCTAAATGGATACACAGAGCCTGGCATTGGGAAGAACTAACATGCAGTGTCTTATCCTGCTTTCAGTAAGCCTTGGGAAATAGGTAGTTACTCATATAAACTCCCTGGATTTCTTCATCAGAGGAGGAAAGAGGTTCCAGACTGTGATGGATGACTTGGTGCTGGCCCATGTACAGCAGTCACAGTTTCTGACTGCAGCTGTGCTGCAAAAAATCTCTTCACCAGCTAAGCAGAGCATTTAAAAAGATTTAAAAAGTACCAGTGAACTCACAAAAGCTTACACAATCCTGAAAACATAAGAGAGGCTACCAGAAGACATTCCCTAATCACCCATCTATGTGTTCAAAAGGAAATTTCCAGCAGGAGATTTCCTCAAAAGGTTTCCTATACATGTTCCAGTGTCAATAGCAGAGCAGCTGAAAGTGTCCCAGCAAACCTGGCTGCAAGTGGCAGTGGCAGGACAGGAGCCCAGCCTGGATTAACCATGAGTGTGGGCTTGAGTAAATGCTGCAGCAACACATGGCTGAGCTCCTGCTCAAGGATCCATCTGCAGCACCCACCTGGAGAGCCATATTCATGTCTTGGCAAGCGGCAGATCTTGGGCATTACTTCAATCAGAGTCTTCACATACTGCAGGATGGTGCCTTGGAGCTGTTGGAGACAAAGGGAGGTTAAACTGGAATGCCAGGTCTCCTGGCACTGGTTTTGCAAGAGGCTGGTTGTGGATGGATCCACATCTGACAGCACAGGATGAAACTTCAGCTGGAGTCCGAGAAGAACTTGTTTAATTTGGATTTCACTCGAATATGAAATTCAGTCCAAGTGTATGGAGTCAGAGTGCTTTTACAGCTTCCTCCCAAAGAATAAATCCCAGCTGCATGGATTTTCAATTTCAAAATACAGCTTGCTGTGTTTGCACTGTTTGCAGCTGAAATCCAAAACAAGGCTCAGTCTTAGATACAACTGGACTTGTGCTTCTAACCCAAAAAGCATTTCACCAGAGCTGCCAAAGGACTCACTCCCTAGCACAGGAAATGCTCCTTCCACCTGAGGAATGATCACTGGACACTCAAGAGTTTAATAAAGAATTTATGTTCATGCAGAGCAAGTTTCTGCAGATCTGATGTTCTGGACATACACGGATTAGAGCAGAGCTTAGTTTAAAGCCCTTGCTGTCATTTGGAGTCCCACACCTGCACCCTGTGGATACATTCTATGAGATAATGCACTCAATTCCATTTAGTCAACCATGAAACCTTTGTGCTGAATGCTGTCTGATCCTGCTGGGAAGGCTCCATCACCCCACAGGACTCATTGGGATCCCTCACCAGTGCAAATCAGCTCCAAGTGCTCCAGTGTGGATCAAGAGACACGAAGGTGCCCAACGTGAACGCCCCGATCCCAACGCCCACATTGCCCGCCTCTGCCTATCCAGGCTTTGGGGTTTCTCCACCACCAGGGCCAGGCTCAGAATTACCAGGCTCTTGACGATCTTCAGCAGCTCTTCCATGACCACAGCAATGCCTTGGTAGCCCAGGAGCCGACAGATGGTCTTGAAATGAGGCGGCCCCACAAAGTTGCGGTAGGAGCTGTAGATGTGGCTGTAGGCGATGTTGAGAGGCTGGGAAATTGGAGGCACACTGACAATTAGACAGGGCCATCGACCAGACCTGCAATGCTCTTACCACAGTATTACCTTCCATCACTACAAATAAGTTTTAAGGAGGGGAAGGAGTAGAAATAATAATACCAGTGGTCATTCCCACTTTTGCTTCTTGTAGGAGAAGAGACTATTCTTCCTGTGTGCTCAGATATACTCTAATCTCAATACTGTCATGGCACAAGGTTTTATTATCCTCCTATGTAGCAACTCCACTTTCATTTCCAAGGTAATTTACTCTCCCATAGACTCCCAATCCAATCAGTTCAGGGGCCCTTTGCCTCTTCAAAATCAAATTGTTCTCTACTAAAATGAAAAGTTTTATGTACGTTTAAGCAGACAGATTTTTTTTTTTTTCCCCTATGAGCACTTGCTTTAAATAAGGCATATTAAGAAAAGCAGGAACTGAAGCAACTGAGTTTAAGGGCAGATGGAAAAGACAGAGAAAGATCCTTTTTGCATCCTGCGAAGCTTGACATCAGCCTCTACTTAACAGACATCCCATGGGTCCATGACAAGGGTGAGAATCTGACACTGGTCTAAGGAGAATGGTGCCCAGGACATTGCCCCCAAAATTCTTAGCAACAGAGAACAGAAAGTGATTTCCAAGAATGTACTCTATCAGTGTCATCTTGGAAATATGGAAATTGCTGCAACATTTACAGGATCCATTTGGTGTGAGACAAAGAGAGGCAGAGGGAATTAATTCACTTGTGTGTTCTGCAGAGAAAAAGTACTGAGAATCAGATTTAGCTGAGACACCACATGCTCAGAGAGGGCTCTGCAATGGATGGAAGTGTTGGCATCATGATTCAGCCCAGCAGAGGGGCTGCACTCTCCCCCCATGACATCTCCAGCCACAGCAAAAAAGCCATCCTGGAAAAGATCCTGGCACATAGTGCCCCTTCCAGCAAAACATAGATTAACCCTGGGCTCATGCTCACCTAAAGGTAAAACAAAGATAAAGAAACAAATTAGACTGAATCCCAAATGTCTCCCTGTGGATATTGCAGACTCCACTCCACAAGCATCCCCTTTTCTGCCAGTAATGGAGCCAAGGGAGCGCTGGGATGAAGGCTCTGAGGGGGTTTGGATGAAAGGGAGAAAGGGCTGAACAAGGCAAAATGTTCTCTTTGCTCCACCACTGCTGCAATACCCCCAGCTGGAGGCTCCTGTCATCCCCCACTCCTGACTCACTCCACAAGATTTACTTTCAGTGCATCATCTGAGCTGCTAATGGGTTACAAAGTCATTTGCTAAAAATTGGAAATGTATTTTCTTTAGCTCTCAGCTACAGAATTTCACCAATGTACTGACCATGCTTTCACAGACTTGTCAGTTACTTTAATCAATTAATTGTCCCTCATTTTGTCACAGCCCTACAGATCTGGTCCAGCAGGTTGTTACCTGCTGTAATTCCCAAGTGCTCTTTGAACCAGCAGAAATAAGGCACAGCTAGAAAGTCTCCTATTTTCTGTGAAATGCAATTTCACCTCTTGTTCCTGGTAGGTGCAAATAGCCCTGAAACACTATTAAGTGCAGAAAGACCGCCTTGGAGGCTTGCTCACAATAAGCAAGAACTTTCTTTCCCATCAAAACTTTTTAAATAGAAAAGAAAAAAAAAAGGCCCTGGGTATGTGTCAGAGTTACGAATTATTCAGGCAGGCAAAAAGGCAAAAGCCTACTTCAAAGCTGCAGCTCTTAAGAGAATTGAGCACCCTGCTTAGGCTTCTGTCTGCATCCTCAGATAACCAAGTCTTTAAAAATCTGGTAGAGACAGACCCAAAGCCACTGGTTCTGCACCCTGATACATTTGAAAAACTGCAATGTGTTTTTTTTAAAAATGTTTCTGTTTAAACACCAGGTAATGCCCAGCCTGGAACATCTGCCAAATGGCCAACACAATTATCTCAGAGGGAAGTCAGTGCCCCAAGGCCCCAGCCCAGCCATATTCCCATAGCTTTTATTGGTTTAACTTTTGCAAGGCACTGTCCCAGTGCCTGATGTCCCCAGAAAGCTGCAGGGGTGATCCAAGTGGCCCAGAGATGGCTCCTTGCACCTTCCTTCCACACCTCCCTGTAGGCTCCTTCACCCTGCTATTTCCCCAGGGTTAGTACACTGGGGTTCATCCTAGCGTGGGGGAATAAAAAAATCCTTATTTCAGTGGGCTCGTGAATCCACATTCATGTCTGGAGGCCTCTTTGCTATTCCTTGGCCAGGGGAGTTCTGTCTGTGCATGTTCCTTGTTCCTCTGAGATGCACTGGTAGCAGTTGTGGTGCAGCTGGTCAGATTTTGCCCACAACAGGGCTGATACCTGGCTGTACAGGCAGCCAGCAGCTGGTGCTGCAGCACGCCCTCAACCCTCAGTGGGATAAAGGGGCTGGAGAGCAGCTCCCAACCAGCTCCTCTCTTGAGTGGGGGACTCAGCAATTAGCCTGACTGGGAGAAGACACATTTTAGGATGTGCACTGGCTGCAGATGAGCAGGATGATTCACACCTGCCTGTCTGCAGGATGAGGTGGGTTCATGGAGCTCTCTGCAAAGCCATACAGCGCACGAACAGCAGGCTTGTGTCTAATAATAATGCTCTGCCAGCAATTAAAAATATAACTCCATTTAAGGGTGAGATACACAGCTTGGGCTAAAGACTGTAGGATGTAAAAAATTACACCAGTGGGTATTTTAAGACAAAGCAGCTGAAGGCACAAGCTGGCTGCACAGCAGAGCACAGCACAGCACAGCTCACTCCCCCGCGCTGGGTGGCCGCTTCTGACCCCTCAGAGGACCAAAGCCAAAGCCTGACCCTGACATTTCCTGGGAGCAGCAGCTGCTGGAGACACTGAGGAGGTTTGCCCCACCCTTGGTTTGGGGCCAAATGGGCAGGTTTTGGGGATGGAAGGCTGGGGCAGAGCTCTCAGTGTCCTACAGAGCCCACCCTGCACCCAGTGACAGCCATCTGTCATTGTGAGAATGTGGGCAAGGTCCCAGTGCTGCTTTAGGAGCTCAGGAGGTTACCAGCAATGCTCTGGAGAAGCTTTAGCAACAAATGAAGCATATCCAAGCTCTATTTCCATGTCTTTGACCTTGTTGTTGGCCATCACTCAGACCCATCTGAGCTCACCTGAGGAAAGTCAGGGAGAGTTTTATCTGATAAAATTGAACAGAGAGAGATAATAGACAGTACTGACTGTTACAGAATTCCCTTGGAAAACTGAAGAGCTAATGAAGACCAATATACTCAGAGACAAAAAAAGAACTTGCACACAGCCCCAGACAAGTCAGGGATCCCAGCCAACCTAATTTCAGTGCAACAGCTGAGGGTGTCTTAGAAAGTGGAATGAGTAACTCCAGACTCAGCAGCAACATCTCTGGGAAAGCTCCTCCTGAGCACATTTTGGCTTTAGAGAGGAGCAAGTCACTTGTTCAGAGCCTCTCCCTACCAGGCCCATCTGTCCCCTCCTGGCCACAGGCTCGACCTGCTCCCCTGAACACCACAGGCACAGGCTTTGCCTCTCCCTCCTGCCCTCTCACCAGACTGACAGCGGACGTCCCCAAGTTGTCTGTAAGCAGAGGCATTCAAAGGAGAGCGTGTCTTAATCCCATGTAGTTCAGCAGGAGGTCAAAGTCTTTGAAAACCGAATTCCTACTCCCATCACACAGTTTAGAAAATATTAAAAGTCTACTGGAAATTGCAGCACCATCAGGGATCAAAATGTACTGCTTATGGCTCTAAATCAAATCTAAATCTTAAATCAGTAGTTTGAGTGTGCAAGAAATCACAGAATTAAAGACAAAGCCCCTGAGTCAACGTGTACCAGGATCCCAGATTTCACACCATGTACCAACATGTCTGTAACCCCAGACCCTGCTGGGGCTCAATGATGGTTTTGCTGGGGGACTGTGGATACAGGAAAAAAAACCAAACCAAATAAGCCAGCAAAAAAACCTACCCAGCTTGTTTTCTCCTGCCTTGGAGACACACACTTCTCCCAGAAGCTTTTAGGGATAACATTCCCAAATCACTGGAAGATGCCTGCCCATCCTTCCCTATTGGTTGCCATGGTGAGAGATGACGGAGCCCGAGCTGGGTATAAAGGAGGGAGTGCAGGGAAGGGATTTAGCAGAGGCAGGAGGGAGGTGAGTGCTGGCAAGGCACTGCCTGAGGCCACCCTGTCACAGAGCCACCGCCACGGGGCCACCGCGACCTGGCCGCAGGTAAGTGCTGGCTCCGGGAGGGCTCAGCATGGGCACCTGCAGCCTCATGTAAGGACAGATGAGCAGTCACTAGGATGAGCTTATTCTTGAGTGAATTAAAGGAAAGTTATTGTTAGAGAGAGAGGAAAAAGGAAAGAATAAAGCAGCTCAGCTGAGCAGAGGTGCTGCTCTGAGCACTCGCTGGCTGGGAGGGAGAGCCCTGCAGTGAGGCTCAGAGAGCACTTTGGGGATCTAAAGGAGTGATGTGCTCAAGTAGTTTGTGGCTGTTGCTGAACAGCCACACAGCTCAGAGAGTATTAAAAACTACTGGACATTGTCCCATCAGGGATCACAGTCTATTGCTCACTGGCTCTGACTCAAATCAGTTTAAATGTTTAAATTTATTAGGTGGGCAGTGTCTTTTTTCTGTCTTTGTTCTTATTATTCATATATTTTTGTTTCCCTAAAGCCACTGCTTTTATATTTCACCAACCTACAGACTTCACATTTGAGATCCTGATATTGCAGTGTGAGATTCTGCAGGAACAGAGAGTTTATACTTTATTAAGCAAGGAAGGTACAGAAAATGCAGTGACAACTTAAAACAATGAATTAAACATTATGGAGATTTCTAAATGTCATTTAGGCATAAAATCAAAATATCTGTTGATTGTCAGGTTGAAAAGGCAAGCTGGAGCTAGTTTAATGATCACTTTACATTAATCACACTTGCAGTATCTTTTTTGTTTTGTGGGAAACAAAAAGCTAAAAAAGCTTCTGATAGAGACAGGCAGGCAGAGAGATTTAAAAAAAAATATAACAGGAGCAAAAATATACCCTGTACTCCAACTGGATGTTTTTGTTGTGAAGCATAGGGATACAGTAGTCTGGGCAACAGCAGGATTTGTCTTTTGTAATTTTGGCATTATAATAATTTAACCTAAGTGAGCCAGGATAGCCTTGAGTCCAACCAAAGGGAGGGTAAAAGTCAGTGGAAAGACTTCACCGATGTCGGTGTCCTCTGAGCCCTGACACGGATCACAAAACTGAGCCTCTCCCTGCATCGTTTCAGGGGCACGATGAACATCGAAGTGCACAACATCACTTACACCAGTGCCACCGTGTCCTGGGCCATGAGCAGCCCCTGCCCAGAGAACTACTACCACGTCATGTACCGCCCCAACTGGAACAGCGTCTTTGCCGGCTACCTGCGGCAGAACTTCCACCGCGAGCAGCGCGTCCCGCACCCCCTCAGCTCCCTGGTGCTGCACCGCCTCACACCATCCACCATCTACGTCCTCTGCATCACCTGCAAGAACTCCTACCCCTCCAGCAACCACTGCACCACCTTCCACACTCTGGACAAAATCCCCCTGGTTTTTGGCGGCTCCAAGCACGAGCCCACCACGTCCATGTGGATGGTGAGCAGCCTCCTGCTCCTCTGCTTCCTCGCCCTCCTGGCCTACGGCTGCCTGCAGTTCTGGTCTGCACGGTGCCAGCGGGCTGCCAGGCTGAAGCACCCCGACAGCAGCCCTGAAGAAGTGCTGGAAGGAAGCAGCTCACCAGAGGAGCCACTGAGTGATGGACTGAGAGAGGAGCTCCTGGAAGTGCCCATGACCACTGTGCTAATGAGGAGCTCCGGTCTCATGAAGGAGAGCCCCTATCACTCCCCTCACTGCTTTTTTTCCTATAAAAACAGTGATGATAAAAGGGCCATCTTGCCACAGCATGGCCTTCAATGAAAGCAAAAGGAAAAAAAATCTTGCTTACAGGTCTGGTATGTCCTGCTCTTTCCCAGCCCTTGCCAAAAGGACTGTCTGTGTGTCCATGGCAGCTGTCTGTCCCAGGGTAGAACATGAGGCATAGACATTGTCACAGGGAGAAAGATTTTTATCAAGTGACAAAAGTACTCTCATTTGCTGAGGGTTTTTAAAAAAAGAAACCAAGTTAGCTCTCTGGGAACAGCCAGGCTTGGCAGACTGTAGTGTCATTAGCTCATGTGCATCAGTGCTGTAGGTTCACTTCAGAGTCATCAATCAATGTGCACAAGAACTAAACTCAAGTACTTTCACACTTGAGTGCCCCTCCACTAGCATCACAACCCAAGACCTTGTAACCCCTTTATAAACAGTCATTGTAGCCTGAGAAAAAAGCTTTTTTGTCAGTATTAAGCAGTGCACACACACAAGTATTTTAGCAATTCCCATTTTGAACAGAACAAGGGATTCCCGGAGTGGTACCTTCCTCGGGGAGCATCACTGCATCAGAACACTAACTTGCTCACTTCCCTGTGATGGATGTGACTCAGTCTCAGTGCCAACACCAAGCAAGAGCAGTGCTGACATCCCTTAACACGGGTATTTTATGGAGAAGAATATGGAAAAGCAACAGCAGACTGAATTTGCTTCTTGCATGGCCGTTTGGTTGCACACAGCAATGTGACGCTGCTCATCCGCACCCACCACTCTGTTAATGAATTAGTCCTTGCATTTCTTTCCCTTCCTAAATAAATATTTCCAACATCCACCCCTGCTGGCTGTTGTGGCTCATTTACTGACCTTGGACCCGTAGAGGTAATAGGGCTGGACGTTGGCAGGCTTGTCCCGCTGGGGCTCCTGTGTGAAGGGGATCGCTGTCCTCACAAACCTGCAGTGAGCACGGGAGACAGGGAGGGGAGTGATGAGAGCCTGGTTAACAGGGCACAGTCTGGGATGCCCTGCAGCTGCAGGCTAGTTAGAATTCATCACCTGAGCTACATCAGCTGGAATGCAAAATCTTGTCACAATCTGTTGGTGGTGTACAACCCACCAAAAGAGAGATTTCTTCTCATTTTTGGCAGGCAGGAAAACAACATCTGAGCAGCTACCAGAGCTCTCCTGCTGAGTAAACCAACCCTCAGCCACTTCAATCACTGTCTAACTGCTGCTTGAATTTGTTACTAATATTTTCAACACCAAATGAAGATGGTACGTTTCAGCTTCATTTTAAGAGCAACTGTTGCATCCCACAGGGAGCACAAACCTGGCCACAACGCATGTCAGTTTTATGCGGCAGAGGTTTGATGTTCTGGAAAGAAAAGCAGGGTCTCCAGGTGGCCTTGCTTTCCCTCCTCACCTGTTGGTGGATCCATTGTAGCAGTAGTTGGGCAGGAAGTCGAAGTTGAGCTCCCAGAAGACGTGGAGGGTGATGCGCCCATAAGGCGCGGACACGTTGTGGTTGGCCTCGCGGAACATGGCATCGAAGCTGTCCAGAGTCATGTGCTTGCACAGCAGCCTGTGAGTCAGGCGATTGATTTCCAACAGCCACTCCAGCTCCTGCAGCATATAAAGCAGCAGAAAATGCTTTGTATTTCAACAAAAACAGCTGATTTAATTGCCAGGGGAATGGTTTTTTTTATCCACATGCACACAAAACTAAAGACACCAATTTAACTCAGCAGCCAAGGCCAATTGCACTTCCACTCAAGGGGGTCCTGGGCCAGTATTTTGTGAACCTGTAGGAAGCAAAATTAATTTGTTCCCCACTGAGCACTGGCTGGCTTTCACCTCAGAATCCTCCAAAGGTGGAAACTGGAAATTTTACACTACTTGACTCTGATGCTCCTGTAACATATCAAAGACAGCAAATGCTGTACACACATGAAAAATGTCACAGCCCCCTTCATCCAACTGGGAATTAAAGCCAAGATTTCCTTCTCCCAGCCTTCAGGACTCTCTTATATGAGCTCTGCAAAGTCTACTGCTGACTGCCACCTTATGATTTACACAGATACTTAATGGTCTGATAATAATGCAATTAAAGCTGCATAAACAGAAACAGTAAAGACTCAGCAGCATAAAGGAAGATACATGACTGGTTGAAACCTACTGCAGGGGAGCACTGCACTCAAAACAGAAGACAGTTGACTGTGTATCCACAGCAGTTTATTAGTCTCCCTGCTCATACTCAAGAGTCAATGAAAGTTCTTACCACAATGGATGTCAGGTCCTCGCTCTCGAAGCGGCTGATGGCCTGGTCTAACGATTTGTACATGGCTGCAGAGATGCGCTGGGTAATGAGCCTGTTCAGGTCGATCGATCTGCCCAGCAACTGGCAAAAGAAGAGATCTGCATGTTATATACTGATGAGGAAAAGGTATTTTAGTTTTTAGTCAACACACAAATGAAAACCAAACCTTGAAGTCCACTCAAATGTGAAATGCCTTGGTTGAGTGTAGATTACTTAAGGAGAGAGGGAAACGTGAAGCTTTAACTCATTTCTGTGTCACAAACAGATTCAACCCTTCTCAGCCCAGAGCCAGCCTCAACTAGGATGCCCTCCACCACCAGAAGGATAACAGACCAGGAGTGATGAGCACTGGAACCTGCTGCTTGCACTGTACCTGGACGTGCCTCTGCTTGAGCAGCGTTTCGTAGCGGTTGGACGGTGGGTATGGAATGATCACCCCGTAATTCTTGCATTCAGCCCGGAAACGTTTGTCCAGTAAAACACTGAAAAAGGGAAGCAGTGTCAGGAAAATAGAAGCATACATTACAGCTTCTCTATGTATCTTTCCTGAGTTGTTTTTGACCTTCTTTTAATCTTGGCTCTAAATGCCAAGAAATCTCCGCACACTAAACCACAGGGCAGTGGTTGTTATCCGGGGACTGCCCTGCTTGTCTTTTGTGGCTAAAACATTCAAAAAAATTAAAAAAAATGTGCTGAAAAATATCAGTGCCAGGTACTGGGTGGTTCCCCTGGTGTGCTCCCTCCTTGAAAATCTGCTGTGGGAACATTTGGTTGGTGATGGTGATTGTCCTCCTTCTCTGAGGCCAAATGTGACCTAGAGACAGAACTTGCAGTCACGTGGAAGACTCAGTTCACCTCTGGGGCCACGAGAAGAAGACTCTCACTAGATTTCATCCATGCCCTTTAAATTGGAAAGGAGGATATGCCACAAAGGGTCTATCTCCCCAAAGGGAGAACAAGTCTTGCTACTTTACTAGGATGAGGACAAATGCATATTCCTGTTTTGTAGAGATGGGAGCTTTCCAGTCCTCTGCCTGGTACACAAGCAGAAGTCAAGCAAGGACATGCTTGTCATAAGCTCAGTTTGCTTTTCTGCTGCTCTCACAAACTGTACTCCAACAGCTACTAGAGATGCCAATTATTATTTTTTCACTTTTAACTGTGTCTCCTTAATTAATTTTCCCCATCTACAGCAGTCTGGCATGGACAGCCAGCTCTGGAGGACAGGGATGATCTATGTTTTGTCTTCTTGCAGTGGCTGCTCCCTGAGGGAAACCTTTTGGTTAACAGCAATTTGAATCCAGCAGTATCATCAGTCACCATCAGGGTCTCCTACCTGCCAGCCATTGCTTTGTAATAGGCAAAGATCTGATCTGCCAGCTTGTACACAAATTGATCAAAGCACAAATTCACCTGGGGGAGAAAAAACAAGACTTGGTGAGGGCGTCACCAGCACAGAACAGCTCCTTCCTACGCATGCAAGATCAATACAACCCAACACAGATCTCTTATTTAACACAAACATGTTTTAAAGGTCACACTATCTAAAAAACACACTGCAGTTCTCACAGTGCTGAAGGTAAGCAGAAAATTGCAGTTACATTTCTCTCTTTATAGTTTGTGCATGTTCTTACAGGTCCTGGTCCCCCACCCTCAATCATCCTTCCCTCTCAGTGAATTCTTCATTTTCCTCTGCTCAACAGACTCTGCCATGTCCCCAAGCTTTTGGCTTCCACGGTTCACAACAGGTACAGCTGAGCTGAAGCCCTTAATCAGGAGAGTCTGTAGGGTCTCTGGAAATGATGATCTTTTTGAAAACATCTCAGTCTGATGGGATATTTCTTTCAGGAGAAAGGTGCCTACAGTGAACTGCTGGGTCAAACAGGGCAGTGTGACCCCAGTGAGCTTTTTCCATACAAGAAAGATGAAGAGAACTTACTTCAGCTTCAATTTCATCGTACAAGAACTGCTTTTTGAACTTGGTCAAAGCATAGTATGCACTGTCATTGTAGAGGTCCAGGGGGTACAGCACATACCTGAGGACAAGAACACAGACCACATCTAAAATTAACTTTGGAGCTTATCAGCATAAACTGCAGGCAGTGCATATTGTGCCCTGCCTGATGCAAAAAAAGTGGTTTTGCTCTGACTTCTCTCTGCCACCCCCTGCAGCCCCTCAAATAGCCCTTCTTTATCCCTGGGTTCTGCAGGAAGCAGCTACAACCAAACTGGAATTGAGCTAATTATGAGTTGTTCAATCAACACTTGCTTCTTTGCCCTTGAAGAAGTTTTCACCCTGCCCTCACTCCAGAGAGTGCTCTGACAATGCCCACACAACAGAAAACCAAGTTTTCCTAACAAGGAAAACATTATGGGGATGATTACACTTGCAGAACAGCAATTCCTCTCATCATTTATCCCACATATAAAAAAAACAGTTGAGGTGGCTTAGCCTGGGCCCACCCCCTTTGGTGACACATCTGTCTCAGTGCTGTGTGCAGGTGACAGTGCCACCCTGTCCTGCCCACATCCCAACAGTTGCCAACTGCTGTTTATGACACACAAAGAAGTGCCAGTGCCAGGAAGTCGCCCCTGTGTCTGCTAACGAGGTGTTCACACAGCACCATTCATGTGACAGCAGATCAAGGAACATCTATTTACCTCCCACTCAAAAAGACTGCTCATCACCAGCCTACCCTTCTTCCTCAGCAAAACCCCAAACCCCAGCACGTGCACGGTCCCAAAGGAGCCCATCAGCTCTTACTCCATCATGGAGGGTTCTTTGGTTTCCAAGATATGGTCTGTGAGGATCCAGGGCATGGACATCTCGATGGGGAACTGGATGCGGCGGCCCATGGTCAGCTCCAAGAAGAACTCCCGGAACCAGAGCTGGGACAGGTCACAGCACTGCTGCAGAGCTTCTGGAATGCAGAGAGGATCCATGCTAGCCCCACACTACTCCCCTGGGGATGGCAGTGAGGCCAGGACACAGGAGGCAGCTGCTGCAGCCACGATTTTGGGTATGGAACATTTTTCAAGGATGGCTCTGGTTTTAAACCCAGACAATGTCCACACTGCCTGAGCACTTGGTAATGCAAGAAGGAGGAAGGGATCACCCCTCATGCTCTAGAAGGCCAGGGAGAACACTCAAATGGCTCAGAGTTATTCTGGAAGACTTCTTCTGTGTCCAGTGGCTCAGTTTGTCTGGGACCAAAGGGAAGTCTAGTCCTAGAAAATAAACTACCACCTGCAGCTCTCTGCTCTTGCTGACGGCCCTGCTCACATAATGACTACTACACAGAAGCATGCCCAAACCAGGCAGGAGGACATTTGGGAAAAATCAAGGAAAATCTTCTGCACAGGTGAATGAGGAGCAAAGCTGATCTGCTTTTGCCTTTCTGAACATGCAAGGGCTGTGTTCAAACCTCCCCCTGCCATAATCTCACCACTGATGTTGAGAAGGTGGGTGAAGAAGAAGGACTGCTTGTGGAACTCCTCAATGGCCAAGACTATTGGCCCATCCAAGCTGCTCCTCAGAGTCTTCTTGGAGCCACTCTTGTCTGCTATGAGGGACTCCAGCATGGTCCGCACCATGTAAAGCTTTGGAAAGAAGGTGTCACACAGTTACCACTCTCCAGACACCATCACACACAGCCCTGCTGCTCTGGGAGCAAAAAAGTAACACTTCTCCCAGGTGCTGACCACCCTCTGCACACATAAACCCCTATCCTTCGGAGGTAGAGATAATTAAGCCCCTAAAAGAAGACGCTTTGGGAATTATGCAACAGATTAACAGGCACCAAAGCAACATTTAACACACAGCAGAATGAAGATTTTGTGGAACAGAGCACAGAAACAGCTGCTAATCCACAGGGTGGGAGACTCCTACATGGCTGTGAGACCATTAATTCCCCACACAGGAGACAGACATTCACACACCTGTGTGCTTGATGGTCCTACAGCTCGTCGTGGGACTTTAATATCAAATCCACCCTTGGGATCCTTCTCCCCTCTCAGGCAAGGATCATTTGGAGGCTCTCGACCTCCCTCCCAGTCACAGATTGTCTTCCGAATCGCCTGCAGGACACTGGAGTGGGGGAGAGGGAAAGCAGTGCTTAAGCTTGATTTTACTTCAAGATAAAAATAGCTATGGCTGTGCACACTTGAGAAGAAAGGTACCTGAGGTGGGACCACACACAGCTGGTATTGGTGGGGTTATGCCCAGAAGTTACCCCTGGAGGAGCTGCTGGCCAAGGACTGCTGGCTGTTTGTGTACTGGAGCATACCCGGGGCCACGTGCTCGTACATTATGAAGTGTAACACTAATAAATATATGGGTTTTGCAGTGCCTTCAGGGACAGACTGACCTGATCAGAACATTCTTCTTCTTCCTGACAGCCTGTCGGAGAGGCTCCCTCAGGGTGACCTGGGCAAAGTCCTGCAGGGCCGCGTAGATGGTGTTGCGGATGGCCTGGTTGAAGACACTCTCCATCCGCCCCATCAGCACTTGCAGGCCTTTGATCATGGCAATCACCTGGAGAAAGAGTTAAACCCAGATGTATTAGCTGTTTTTCCACTGTGTGAAGAGGGCTATAAAATCCAGCACTGAGAGAATTTGGGACTGAATTAATTCTGATCATGTAACTGGTGATCAGGCAGCTAAGTTTTGGGTGTTAGCTGCTTTACAGGTCACAAAAGGCTGAGGAAAGCATTTATTCCATCAGTTTCTTGCAAATGGCCCCTGTCCCTTGATTCTATTCCATCTCTTGGTATCTTTAACACCACACAAACCCAGGAAACTGCACATGCTCCACATGTGGGTGCAGCTTGCACAGAGCTGCATCTGACCAGGGCACAGCCCTCCCTGCCCAACAGCACAGTGGAGGAAGCCTTGAGACAACACCCAAACCACCCTGGACTGTGAAAGGCAGGAGAAAGGTGAGGACATCCCAGAGCCTGGCTCAGAGGACTGTTCCCAGTGTTCCCAGACAGCCAGGCTGAGAGCTGATGTGTCCTGGGGACTGGCTGAGCATCTGTGCTTGCAGAGTTCCTGAGTGCAGCTGCTGCTCCTGCTCCAGATCACACTGCTCTGCAAGCCCCCTGTTCTGGGCTTGTGTGGAAACATTTTGGAAGCAGGAGGATACAGGGGTGACTTCTGTGAGAAGCCCCCCACATGGACAGAGCTGGTTCCACGACAGACCCAATTACCAGGGCAATTTAAAGCCCAGATTAAAGGATGTGGGAACCCTTAATCCCTTAACATGGGTCACAAGGATGAGGATCTGGCAGAGTATGGTGAGAACACCCTTCCATTCTCTTTCCCTGGCCTGAAAACAAGGACAGAAAACCAGCCTGGACTGGCTCTGACTCCTGTGCAAGTGGCACCTACTTCCACAAAGGCAAACTTCTCCTCGCTGGTGTAGTTGTAGCGGGTGGCTCTCTCATACTCTTCAGCTGTTCCTGGGCAATCCTTGTTACAGAATTTATCTGTGGGATGAACCAGCTTCCAAGAGTACTAGAAGATGGAAAGAGACCATGTCAACATTGCAATGAGGAAGAAGATAGGTTAGAAAGACTGAATTAGACCATATGCCAAAAAACCATTTCCTAGACATCACTACAGTTTGACATCCTTGGCTTCATTATCACTTAGTGAATTGGTTTTCTTTATCTGGGAGACTGCCAGTCATACCAGGCTTTTGACATCCACACACTTGTGTTGAGATGTGGTCAAAACTTTGCAAATCAAGAATTCCCATCATCATTTGAATTACAGTTTTAGTTGCTCAAGACCCAGACTCACCCCAAACTGATTTCAGAGCTGCAGGGATGCACTCACCACTTCCATGACGTGGGCACTCCACTTGGACAGCAGCTGCAGCCCCCGTAAAGCCAGGTCAAAGAGCTCCCTGTACTCCTCATCTGACTTCTGGCTGTCCAGGCCTGAGCCAGTGACAACCTGGAAGACATCACATCATGTCAGGGCTACAACCAGCAACTTGCTGCAGGGGCTTCTCTCAGTCAACAGGTTTTTCTACCAAATCCCACCTGAAATGAATTTCTGACCTTATGACCAAGCTAGAATTGCATAAAGCATATACTGCTCTTCAGGAAAAGTGACCCTGGCAAGGCTCTTTTTACACAGGCAGTCAAATTATTCCCTACCAAAAAGAATTAGTCTGACCCGTCATCTCAGAGCAAACAACTGACTGTTTTTATTCCACTTTCCCATTCCTTTGTGATGTCTAATACTGCTGAAATCCTTGAGAATCCTTTACCGATTAAAGTTCAAACAAGCTCTTACAAATGCCAAGAAAGAAGTGCCTGAGAATGCAATGCTAGGATTTGTTAAACTGACACTGATGAATGAGGATCACACACACAAAAAACAGTCCCAATGGCATCAGACACTGGCATTCAGTAATGAAAAGAACAGAGGTGCCTTCGTGAATTTTCCTCTAAGCCCTGACTGATAGGCCTGTGTAATTGAAATGCACTATTTGCAAGTCATGGGTGTTCTGACATTTGCTTGATTATAAACATTTAGTTGCCAGTTCTTTTCCTGCTTATTTTAACAAAGGTGTGGTCAAGGAGCAGAAGCTGTTGCTGTAGATCTGGTGCACATGATTTTGTACCTGCAGGAGCCTTTCATAAGGCGTGAGATTTAGAGAGAACAAGTCAGCCACAGCTCAAGGTAGTCATGGGTTTCTTCCTCACAAATATAGAACATTTTGGTCCAATAGACAGTTAACACAAAACTTGTTTCTATTTAATAACCTATCACTTTTGCTTAATTCTGCCACACTGTGTCTGTCTTCCAGCCAATAAACTGACAGGTCACATACTCATACACATCTCTATTATAGCTTCTAGATCCTTAGCCTACTCTATAAGTCACATTATTACAGCTTAAACTTCTCACTATTTTACCTAATATAATTTCTTACCTACTCAAGGCATATTCTTACAATTTAGGAACATAAATTCATAATTTTTCTACTTAATGTTTGTGTATCTTTATCCTTACATTACAAGCTCTTTCTAGGGCTGCAGACTGAGCCCTTGAGCATCTGTGGAAGTTTCTCTTTCCCCATTTCCTGCAGTGCACCTGAGGAGCGTGGCTGCAGGGGGTGCAGCTGTACCCACCTCGCTGTTGCTGTAGCGCGCGAGCTCCGAGATGAAGCGGATGTGGTCGTCCCGGATCTGCACCATCTGCTCACAGATGTTGTACTGGGGGCTGATGCTGCTCTGAGTGCACGTCCACCTGGGCAAAAGAGCAATGGTGTCAAGGAGAGGACACAGCTTCTGCTCAGACAGCCCAGGGACAGCTGCTCCCTTCGCTTCCACGGGCTCCAGGCACGCCACCCTCCTGGGAAATGTCAGCCTGTGTCGTCTCCCTGCTGTGGGGTCTTCCAGAGGTGGTCTCACACAGCGTGATGGGGACTCTTGCCTCACCTTTCAGCCTGGATGTGTTTGCTCCATGCACCCTGAAGGCTGATCTCAGTGTGGGCTCACCTACCCCAAGGGCAGAGATGGCAATTTCCCAGGCCATCATGGGACAAGCTCTCAGGGAAGGATGAACTTCAAAGAACTGCATCATTTGCATCCTTTCTGCTAAACCTAAGGATAATCATCCCCTTAGAGGTCCTCCCTACAGGTCTGGGTTGTGCTGTCTTCTCCTGCAAAGCAGAACTCTGCAAAGAACTAACCCTCCCATTGTTTTTTGTTCTGGCTTATGCTACCAGCTCAGTGACCAACCCTCAGAATAAACCACGAGCAGAATATTACCTGAACTAGATTTTCATTTACACTGAGCCATAGGTACCATGTAACAGTGTAATGTCATCCTAAAAAAAGGCAGCACTCCCGTTCCAAAGGCACAGTTGTGGAATGGGACAAACCAGGTCTATTTAATTTAATATCCCCTTTCTCCCTGTAACATATTAGCCCCAGATGTAGAACCAGAATGGCTCCACCAGAATGTTCTGTTGCAAGAAATTGTCTATCAGATTCTCATATCTTACTCTGTCATCACAAGGTAGAAATTCAGATTAAATTTTTTTTTCCCCACCTAAATGATTGTCCATCCTATGATAGTCCTATTCTCCAATTTACACTGGCTATACAAAAGGAAGGTGAGAAACGTGCCCCTGACATGGACATGCACATATCCCTGCACTTAACTGCACTTGTTGCCAGCATTTGTGGTGGTAGACAGTCCTGGAAATGCTGGGCCACTTCACCCCTTGTGAAATCCATCCTCCCCCAGTGCCCCTGTTTGGCTCTTACCCGTTTGCAGGTGCTCCCCACTGGACAATTGGCAGGTTAGCAGGGCTGGCCAGGGCTGCCCCAGCCCTCCCTGCCACACACAACCTACTCCACAGTGCAGAAACAAAGCGCCATGCGGGAAAAACACCAATTAATTCCACTTGCACGGAGACAAGGAGGGAGAGAAAGTGACAAAAACAGTATTAGTAAGAAATGGGGGTTACATGGAGGCACCTTGGCAGAGTTAGAGTTGGGAGTCCCATGCAATTTGCTGGGAAGGCAAGTGAGTGAGGAAGAAACATTGGTTAGTAGGGTACGGCACACAGACCTGGTCGGACAGATTTCAAAGACAGACATTAAAATTGTGCACAGGTGAAACAGCCCATGAGCCACCCTGGTTTTGAGATGAGAAAATGAGGAACGCTGCTGACACATGTTCCGTTGAAATGTGCTTTCTGAATGATTCGGGATAAAAAAGTGCAAATCTTCTGAAAATTTATTACTTTTTAAAAAGATTTTTCAAAAACATTCTTTAAAATCATGTCACACGGAATCATATTTTTTTTCTCTTTTTTTCCCCCCCCACAATTTTAATTGAAAACTTTTTGCTTGGGAGTTTTGCCACGTTCTTTTCAAACCATCTCCTGAACAATTTAACAGGCACTTTTCAACCAGCTTTTGGGAGGGCAGGGGAGGAGGGCTGCTCCTGGCAGGCAGAGAAGGCAGACCCTTGGGGGTGGAAGGGGATGAGCAAACAGAAGCAATGACACTGCAGGTTAGTTCCTGTCCTGCTGAAGGGACAGCCTGGCCTGGCTGCTCCTCACAGACACCAGAGAAACCTGATTTCCACACAACACCGTCCCCCAGCTGGAATCCTGGCTGCCACCCACCACCACAGCCCAGACAGGCTTTGCTCAGGTGTGCTTGCAAACCTTATTCCAAGGATATCCAGACCTAAGGAGGATTCTTCTGGCAGCCACTGAGTGTGCAAAGCTACAAGCACAAGCAGTGCCTCTCCCGTGCCTGCTGTGACTGAAACAACCTCTGTGGATTCACCTGACGGCAGCAGCCCGTGAGCACAGGCTGCTCCTGAGCTCTCCACTCCTGCTCCTCTCTCACAATATCCAGAATCATAGAATCATTGAGGTTGGAAAAGACCCCTAAGAGCATCAAGTCCAACCTTTGATCACCACCCTGTCAACTCAACCAGAGCACTGAGTGCCACATCCAGTTGTTAGTGCCACATTCAGTCTTTTCCAGTTCATTAATCTCCAGAGCACCCGAGCCTCTGGTTCAACCCTCATTGCTGCTGTCCTTCTTCACAAACCCTGCCTGAGCTAGAGGAGACACCCTGGTACTGCAGGGATCCACTGCTGTGTCCATGCTCTGGAGGATTTTGTCCTGGGGGTGCAAACTGGGGATTAAAATCTCCCCAGAGCAGGGACACGCTGCTCACACTCACACAGCTCCAAGCACTCGGCGCTGCCCCAATCCGTGCACCAGCCTCCCTTCCTTCCTCCTGCCTTGCTGCCAGCCCCCTCCCAGCCCTGCTCCTGCCCTCTTCCACGGAGCCTGGCAGCTGGCTGCACGCCCAGGGCGGGTGAGGACATCTCCCCATGCAGGGACAGGGAGGAACACACGGGCACACAGAGCTGGACTCACACCTCACGGGACACACACACACACACACGGGCACAGGCCTCGCGCACCCGCGGGGCTGCAGCTCCCTCAGGCCCTCAGGACACACACAGAAGCCAAGAGACATTACGGCAGGCACTCACTTGGATTTGTTCTCCTCATAGTGAGCACTGGTCTTAATGTATCTGGCCAGTTCTATCTGCATATCGCCGAATAAAGGAACCACCTGCAGCTGCTGGAAAAGAAAACAAAAGATGGTTGAAACATGGCAGAGAGGGAGGGAGAGAGAGAGAGATTGAGAGCCTGGCCCCAGCACAACACAAGGGACTCCAAAAAGGCATGCTGCACCTCTGAAGCTTTGGAAAGTGTCAGAAAGTCAGAAAGTGTTTGAGGCAAAGTGCAAACCTGGACCCAGGGTCATTTCACACCTAGGAAACGACTGAGAATGATCACAAGGGTTTCTGTGAGAGGAAATCACCCCCTGTGAGTGCTCTGGAGAGCTGGGCTCACTGCTGCCAGGCTGGTTATGGCCAGAACAGTTCAGTGGTGGAGCCAGACAGAGAAAGGCTCTTTCTATGGTTGTTTGAGATGTGTCTTAAAACTTCTCCATAAAGAGAAAGGCACAGGCAATGTAACATAGCTGTGCTTGCCCTTTGTATCTCAGAAGGTTTTGGATGGGAAATGAATTCCAAGTGCTCTAAAGATACCTCAAGCTCAGACAGGTCCCTCCTTCACTGAACTTCCACCTGCAAACAAAATCCAGCCAAGGGCTACTGGTATCAATAAAATATGAAGCTTCAGCTTCACCCAGGTACAAAAGCCTTGCCCCAAAATTCAGGGAAGATGGGGGCTAATTCCCTGTCCTATTATCACACACCTCTCAGGCTGAGCTGTGCACAGGATGTGTAATGCTGTCATCAGGGATTCCCACTGGCACTTCCATAAAGGTTGAAATGAAGGGGTAGTTCATTTTCACTACTCAAATTCCTGTGCAATCCACTAGAAATTTAATCAGAAGGCAATAAGTAGATGTAGTGAAGGAGTAGTTGGTCTTTCCTTATTGAGATCTGATAGTTTGGAGTGGTCCTTAACTGATTAGGTGAGACCACAGCATTTGCTGGAGAAGTGAAAATGGAAATCAAGCTGGAAAGGAGAAAGTTACTCCATGCAATGGGAGGTATTTTACCTCATTCTCTGATGGCCCACAGCAATAAACAGCAAATCTGTCTGAATGCACCAAGATGACCAAACTCTACAGATTACACTGAAGGCTTGATTTAGAGATTTAGTTGAATTGGCAAAACTGAATCAGGAAAAACCCAGAAGACTCTAAAGAATGACATGATAAATCACCTTTGCAGAGCAGTCTCCCCAGAGATGGGAGGGTTTTAAACACATCATTGCCCTGTCCATAAGGTTATGGGTCTGTGGCCCCCTGCTCTTGGGGCTGTCACCAGGAAATGGTGCAGACTGGGGTAAACAGGTCCCCACTCATCAGGGGAGGATGAAGCAGCTGGCACACCGACCTTCCATCAAACCTGAGCTCACCTGTTCCCTCCCCTGCACACACCCAGCACATCACCCATGATCTCAACCTCAGGGCAGTAAGCAGGGAGACATCCTCTATCCAACACCACAACCAACCCCCTCATCCAGGCTCCTCACTCCACTTCTGGGTGAAGTACCAAGGAGAATTCACTGTGCTGGAAGAGTGAGGGGGAGGAATCCCCTGTGCCCTCCCACAAATCATCACCTTCTCATTATCCCTGATCTGGAGCAAGTGCTGGTAACAGAAACTCATCTTTCCATCTCAGGGGAAAGATTAAAAAAGGAGAAAGGAAGGACTGCTCAAGCTCAGCAGGTCTCAAAGAAAACTAACTGCTCCACCTGGGAAATGCTGCTATCCTCCTGCTCTTTGCCACCAACTCATTTGCCTTTTGCTAGATCCCACCATGCCTCCTACAGCTACCTGCTCCAAACCCAAAATGCCTCCCAGTCCCAGCCTGTGCCCAGAAGCAGTGGAAAGGAGGCACCACCTTCCCTGAGGTGCTGTGTGGGCTCCTAGCCTTCCTCTCCACCAACAGGGTGATCCCAAACCTTTCCTGTGCTGAGTGGTCCCAGGGCACTGCAGCCTGGCCTCCAGCTGTGGATCAGACCATGGCCAGATGTGCTTCAGCAGAGAGAGGGTGTGAGGCTGCTTCCCTCCCTGCCACAGGTTTCATGGGCCTTTCCCCAAAATCCACAACTCACACTAGACAAAAACAGCTCATCAAACCACAGAGTGACCCTTTGAGGATCTTCTGAGCACCTCCAAGTCCCAGCTGACACAAATTCCCCCAAAAGCTTTTTCTGTGCTACAGGGAGCAGAGTTTATACATGAAATAAAACTGCCAGATCACACACTGGCTCGCCAGCTGTGTCCTCTGTCCCTCAGCTCAGCAGAGGGAGAGAGAAGCAGAACCATCACCCACACAGACCTCAGCAATCCAGCCAGGTTTGCTGATGGCCTGGAACCACAGAGGCTGCAAACCTGCCTCAGGGATGTGCCAAGAGAGAGAAGCCATGGCAGTTGGGCACATCCATGAAACAGCCATCCACATCCATCCACATCCTTCCCTCATCCATGAAACAGCCTCTCCATCCTCTGTGCCCTGGCAGGAAGCAGCCAGAGCTGCAGCTCCCACTGACTGCCCAGCTCCAGAGCCATGGGAGCAGAGCCAGTCCCAGCACTGCCCTACACCCCCAGCCCTGCAGGCACTGAGGGTCAGCACTGCTCACCTCACCCCTGCTGCAGCTCTGTGCCCAGGCCTGGGCACAGAAATTCCATTCCTCAGCCTTTAGCCCAGATAATTTCTCAACTCTTGGTTTTTTTTGACCTGTAAATGATTCCTGTGGTTGTATTTTGCTAGCAGCACAGGCTGCTAATCCACTGGTCTGCAATAAACACTAGCCTCACACAGACAGGCCACTGACCTTGAAGAATTTGTCTATTTTGCTAAGGTTGATTCTCTTCTTGGCATCCAACTTGTAAATGTTGCTGACATTCCCATCCATGAGATACAGGCCAAACCCCATCACCTGGAGGAGATGGAAAGGCAAGGTTTCATCAGCATAAAGTCAGCAGCACAAGTGAATTTAAAATATTCTCCTGGACTGATTTTCCTCCCTCCCCATTAACTCAGTGCAAATCATTACAGAGAGACAAACTCCCCACATTACCCTTCAGAAAAGCTGAGCTGACTCACACCATTGTAATGAAGTTTTTATGGCAATAGTGACTGCAATCATTGCCAATAACTGACTGATAGAAAGGACAAATACACCAAACAAAGAGAGACTTTGGCATGTTTATCTATGAGGACTCTTTACAACCAGAAAAACAAACCTGGGAGCATCTGCCTTCTGCAGGAATTATTGTTGGGAACAGGCATCAAGAAGAAAATTCTGGGTTACAAAGTTGGTGGTGATTTTACAACATCCTCTGCAGTCACTCAGGTCACACCCATGATCCTGCACTTCCATGCACAACAGAAAAACCCCTTCCAGCCTTGGAGGATGTAGGGCACCCACCAGGCAGAGCTGCTGGCAGCATTGGGAAGGATTGTGGGGAAAACAAAGAGATGGAGATGGGGAAAAGAAGAAGGAAGATGGAAATAAGGGAGAAGGCCATAAAGGACAGCAGAGGACTGATGGGAGAAGGTCCAAGTTAGGGCAGGAACAGGGGCAGCCCATGGTACTGGCCAGCAGAGCTGACACTTCAGAGCACTGGGGTGGGACATGCCCAACTCAGGGCTGTGTCCAGCCTGCTCAGCTACAAAAAGAGGCGAGAGGGAGGACTGAGGTACCACAGCAGAGGACACAAAGCACCAGGGGTCAGAAAAGGAACAGGAAGAGGAGGAAGCAAAGCAGATCTGCTGCTGCCTGCAGAGCACTCACAGCAACTTGTGTGAGCAGAGGACACTGTCTCTGTAGAGAAGGGATGAATGTCAGCCCAAAGGAGCAAAAAAAATCAAGAAACTGAAGAGAGATGTTGTCCTAGGAGCGAATTTCATTTTGCTAAAACAGTGAAACTATGCAAGCACCCAGCCCTACAAGCATGGCCCAATCTCACCTTTAAGAGCATGTGCTTCTCACTGGGGGTTAGATACATCTTGTTTTCATAGTAATCCACACAGATGTTGACAATATCAGCCAGCAACTCCTCATAGCCAGGGATAACCTCTAGTTGTTGGTGCAGACACTGAAACACAACAGAAGCCACATTATCCACATGGGCAGAGGAACAGCAGAAACCAGGCAGGAAGCATTTTAAGGATTAAGAGTAGAATAATAAGAGGTTCCTTCAAACCTCATTTGTGTGTTTTTCTTAAATTACATCTTTTAGACCTTCATCTTTGTCTTGATACAGAGACTTTCAAAGCCACCCAGGATGTCACATGAGGAGACATGGCTAGAATTACACAGCCTGACCAAAAAACCACCAGAGTCAGTGACAAAGACCCAGCAGCTGCTGCCACAGCCTGGTCTGAAGTGCTGTCAGCCTCAGCAAGATCAGTGCTTCTCTCTGCTCAGAAAGGCTGCGTGGCTCAGAGCAAAGGGACCTGCCTGAGTGATGCGGTTGTGGTTTGCCAGGAACATGGAGAGGTTCTGGGACTCCTGGATGGACTGGGGGTCTGCCATCTTCCTCAGGAACTGGGCAGCTCTGCAAGGGACAAATCCAACATCACCGAGGGTCACTCAGCCAGTGTCACCGCCCACCTTGCCAATGTTGCAGCCCCAGACCCCCCTGCATCACAGCTCTATTCACCAGGAGGGAATTGAAACACAACAGGCTCAGAGATTTGCCTCAATTGGCAGAGAGAGCCTAGGACAGCACAGAAGCCCCATCTCCAGCCCTGATGTCCTCCTGCCATCACTGCTGGTCACACCAGGCGCTCCCTTGCAGACCAGGCACAGTCCTGTCCCCATTCCCACCGCTCCATCCCCTCTCACCTTTTGTAGGCAGAATGATCATTTTTGACGCTGCACTTCATGTTCTTTAGCTCATCCAGGACAGCAAACATGTTGATGAACTTGCCCAGAGTGAGGAGATAGGCCTCAGACACAAAGTCCTTCCTCCTCTCAGCGTGGCACAGGCGCTTCACCTCGCTGCAGAACCGCTCGATGGCCTTGCGCTGCGGGGCAGGGGCACAGGGTCATGCACCACCACGGGAACCCCCTCCACCCACCAACCAGCTCCTTCAAAAAAAGCATTTTTTGGCTGGGGATGGAGGCTCCAAGGTTCCTCCCCGCTGCTCCCATGCAATGAAGCATTGTTACAAATCACTGCTGACAAACACACTCAGTGCTTGAAGGGAGAAAGGGGCTCGGACACTCCAACTGCACCTGCCCCAGGTGTGGGGTGTTCTGCAAAATCAGGCTGCATTTTTTAGGTGGGACATAAAGGCCTCACAGGATATAAAACCTAAAAATGGATGTGGAACTCAGCTGCAGCCCCTTGTAAGGCAGGTGGTGATGGGGAGCCCACAGCAGCTCTGTGACTGCCACATGGCAAAGGAGAATCAGCTCTCCACATCAGCCAACATCCCCAAAAAAACAGGAGCCTGTGACACCTTTAGCTCCAAACAGTGGGAGCTCTGGGTCTCCATGAACTTGGAAGGGCTGAGGTCTATCCTAGACAGTATAGAAGATTTTGGGGCTAAGTGAGGGACACACAGATTTTCCTTCACACAGGTCTCAGGTTTCTGCAAGGAAGAGATCTACTGGGGGCTGTCCTGGCAGGCAAGGATAGCACAGCTCTGCTTAGGATGTTAACACCAAAATAAACAGATTATTTTTTCCTCTCTCCTTGACCTCTTACCTGAAAATACATGAACTTCATAAGTTTGGTGACTTCTGGCTCCAGAACTTCCACTGTTTTCTCATAAATCTCCACTCGGTTTGGCTGTTCGTTACATTTCACCTGCATTGCAAAGAAAATCATCTGTGTCAGCATCAGCTTCTAAGCCAGCTGTGGGTGACTGTGGCACCATCTTCTTGTTTCACAGAGTCCTGTCCCCACCCAAGGACAATGGAGAAGGAGCTGGTTCTCAAAAGCAAAAGGGGATATTTCAGATCTGAAATTCTCTCCATGCATTCTAAACAGGCACAATCCTGACTCTGGGGGATAAAAGTCTCCTAATGCATTTGGCATAGAACAAAAGCAATATGGAGTCTGGACTTGCTGTATAATGTGGGAATGTTGTTATCTGAGATTTGTGTTGCAAGACACACAAGGCACCAGGTTACAGCTCTGCCAGAGCCTCACTGGGATTATTCTGGTTCTGCTGAGGATCCATTAAAAATCACTGGGCTTGTCTGTGGCTGACAACAATGAACTGAGTCACTGTTGCTAGACTCCTGGGAAGCTAAATTTAAGGACTTACTCAGTTGTCATCCATCTCACTTTCAAAACAGTTACTTGGAGTCATTATCAAACTTGGAGAGAAAACACCAGCTGCCCAGGGCATCCTGCTGTCCTCTGGTTTTGTTTGCAGCTGTTGCTCCCAGAAGGCTGTGATGGGGCTGACAGCCCTGGTGCACGTTCAGTAACCCAGCAGCTGATTCTCAGGGCATGGGGGGACACATCAGCCAGCCTGACAGGGGGAACAACGCCAAAGGAGCCTTGTCCTCTCTGCAGTGGGCAATCTCATCTAATGTCCCTGCCCTGGCTCCACACTGCAGTCAGGCACTACCACAGTATCACAGAATACTCTGAGCTGGAAGGGACTCACAAGGATCAAGGTCCAGCTCCTGGCCTTGCCCAGCCCTGAGGACCCCACCATGCATCAGTGGCCATGAGGATGCAGTTGGGACAGGGAGCAGTGGTGCACACTCAGGTGCAGGCTCTGCTCCTCACCTGTGAAGCCACAGCCTCTGATGCAGCAGGGAGCTGCACCTGACCAGGCAGGGAGATTGGGGGGCTGAGCACAGAACCCCCCTGTGCCCCATGGCAAAGCACAGGGGTCACTGCAAGATCAAACCTGGTCAATCTACAACTGAACCCTCTGCTGTGGCATTCTCTGCTCCTCCATCACACACAGCACTGACACCAGCCCTGAGGGGAGCACGGGGGGAAAGGGCAGGGACCCACAGGCTGCCCAGAGAGGCACAAATGTCACAGGGAGGCCACTAAACCACATGATTTGTAGTGACTGTAGGGATTTGTAGTGATGTCTTGCCATCAGCCTTCTGCTGGTGTAGCCAGGGGAGGAAGAGCAGCAGCAGCACATGTGAAGTACTCAAACAGCAGAAATCTCCTCATGGCCACGTCTCAGCATCATCTGCCTTAGTTTGCTTTGCTTTTCCTGTTCTTCTGTCTCCACTGCAAACTAACCCACTGTCAAGACAAAACCAAAGAGGTGCTCTGGGAGCCCCCCTGCCTGGGAAGGGCTTGACTACCTGAGGGATGGCTCGTGAGCAGCTCCTCCACGTGTAGAGCATCACGGCGTACTCGTGGCCCTCTTCCAGCATCTCATTCTGAAAGACAGAGGGGTGTTGGTGGGCCAGGGCAGGTTTGTGTCAAAATTAGCCTGTGGACAAAAGGGAGAGATGGGGATTAAAACACAGCTGCGGCTTGCTCACCTGGTACAGCCTAACATGGGATGTGCTGGCAAAAAGCAGATTTAGTAGGGCTCCTGGGGCACAGGAAGAGCTTGTGAACTATTTGAGGTTGCTGCGCTTCTAGGCCTGAAGTAGTTTCATACATACACATACCCTGAGATGCTCTGGAATCACACATGGTCATCCTGCAGGGAATATGTGTGGAAATATGGCAGTCAAGACTGACAAATCCTTGTCAAATCAAGCCCAACTTTACTGCAGCCACATCAGAGAGAAAAGCTACAGCAATATTTCTAAGGATTTTAGCTTGGTAACTCAAAGACAGATGCAGCCTTATTAATTTCTGGTTTTGCCCTGGCTGCTAGGGGAAGACCACATCCTGTCAGCAGGAAGTGCAAGGGATAAACACAGAGAAAGGGCAGGGAATGAGCTGTCTGGAAAACATAAATATGAAAGTCAGCCCCCATCCAGGTGCTATTATCAGTGCTACTGTTGCTCTTGCAAGCACAAACAGTCATTGGGACAAACACTTGTTCTGGGAGCTGTGGAACAGTTTTGGGTTGGAACAGGGGAGCAAGAAATTGCAGAGGCAGGTGGGGGATGGAAAAGCAGCTCCCCTGGCTCTTTGGAGGGCCCTTCACATGCTCTGTGCTTGGAAATTTCCTCTGCCAAGGCTGGCTGATGGTATCTGCTGCAGGGCAGGGCAGACAGAGGTCCCAAGCACCCAGAGCTGCTCCTTGTGATGACAGCAGCACTGCAGCCACCACACTCAGCTCAGTGACTGATTTCCTGAGTAGGAAAGCTGGGAGCACAGACCTGTGGCCACAAGGCTACTCCTCTTAGTGCCTCCACATCACATGTGACCAATGTGACATCAAAAGCTGAGACTGCATGTGCACTTCTGGCTAGCAGGGGAGAGGGCCACACAGAAACTGAGTATGATGAGGAAATAGGCTTGGCCAACATCTCCAGATACTGCTTAGAGGAGGTTTTTAGGCCCAGCTGTGTGCACACACTCGTGGCCCTGAAAGGAGGCTGTGCCATAAGGCTGGACCCTGAGCCCCTCCTGAGACACAAACCAGAAAAGGCTAAAAATTTATTGAAAGGATAGATAAGCAAATAATTACATCAAGATTTTTCAGGGAGAGCTGAAATTTGAACAGCCCAGAATGACCTTTGGGTCTCATGATAACCCATAGAGATACCAAGGCTCTGGGGTCTGATCTGCTGAAAGAGATCCTGCAATCCCAGAGCCCTGCGTACAAGGCACAAGATCACAGTGCTGGTGTATTATACACTGCCAGGGGTGAGCCAGCAGCATGGAGAAAGGAACCCCCTGTTATATTTAACCCTGGGTGTGTGCTGTAGGGCAGGGTGTGGTGGCCAAGCAGCCGAGGCATCCCACTGTGGAAGCAAAAGCAGGAGCCCGGCCGTGCCCTGGGCCCCTGCCAAGCTTTGCTCGGTCAGTGCAGCTGCAGCTAAATCTGAGTTGCTCAGGGCAGAGAAGTGGTTCTAGCAGCTGCCCTCCCCTGCATGCCAGCAGCTCCAGCTGTGCTAGAGGCAGAGGCCAGCCAAAGTCAGGCAGGACTTTGAGCCTGCCCTGCTCGGTTCGACGCACGCACGAGCATGGAAAGGAAGCACAGAAATATGTGCACAAATAAACATCACTGAGAACTTTCTGCTGTTATCACAAATCTTATCTCCTGCTTCCTACCCATTCATGCACTCTGGTCCTCATTTTTGCTCGGCCTTAAAAGCCCCTTTCACCAACCTCTGATGCCTTCCTCTTAAAGCCCTTGGGAACAGATTTGTGGCTAGATCTGTTCTGAACGCTTCCCTCAACACGCTGAACCCTGGATGTTTTCAGTGCTTCAGCTATTCTCACAGCACTGTGCTTTGCATGAGCCACTGGAACAAGCCTCCCTAGCCTGTGCCTCGGGGAGCTGAAGTACCTGGTACATGATGGAGGAGGGAGGAGGTTCAATGCATGGCTGCTGGTCTGGCAGGGGCAGCTCCTCCAGCAAGTCCACGTTGGACAAGGCATCCTCGAGCGTGACGTGGGTCGTCATGGTTGCAGATGTTCAGTTCCCCTGCTAAATCCAAACCAAAAGAGAGGGTGATAGACAAGACAACCAGCCAGCAGGCAGGAGACTGAGTGGGAAAGGATAAAACCAGAGCCGCTACTGGCTGGCACGGCAGGGGACAAAATCCCAATTTATCTGTTTTCCCTTTTTTCACGCATTAAACCTACATCTCTTGTCATCTCTCTCCTGCAAACAACAGCAGAGCAGGAATGCAGAAAAAGAGAAACACAACTATCCACCCAGGCACCTCTCTCTTAACTCTATGCAAAACTCTCTCAGACTGAACAGCTGGGTGCTGCAGTGCAGCTTTAGCAGCCCCGGGTGAGAGCATGTGCTCCGAAATGCAAAGCGGTGCTATCAAGAATATCTCCTGAAGCAGCTTGATTAGAGAAGTATGACGGATGCTGACACTCACATGCTCTCCTTCTCACACACATGAACAGCCCTGGAAACTGTAAACAGCCAATTGCATTAATTCCCAGAGGTGAACTGGAAAGGCTCGAGTGCTGTGACACTGCAAGCAGCAAAAAAGAAGTTGCTGTTAAATTTCTCTACTTTTACCACTGACATGTCATCCCCTGCCCAATCCCAGCCTGCCCTGAAGCTGCCAACAGCACCAGCTGCAAGAAATGAAAATAAATACACAAAATAAAATCAAAGGGAAACATTTCTGAAAGTTCCCTGGCGCTTACCCCAGGCAGGCGCCCAGTGGGAAGCACGGAGCAAACCTGTGTGTCCCTGTCTCCCCTGGCACTCACCTTGGCTGTGAGTGCTCAGGCACAGGGGGGGGACTGTGCTGTCACCCAGGCTGAGCCCTTGTGTAATCACAGCCACAGGGCTTCCCCAGTTAATGCCTAATCCTGTGCAATAGCTGCAGCCGACCTAGAGCCTGTGTCTCCCAGAAAAACACCCTGCTGCACTTAGACATTTGCAGAGAGACAATTCTTTAAATATTGACACCTCATTCAATTAGCAAATCACATCCCCTCCAGTGCTTCTTGCCTCACTCAGAGCCTGTCTAGTTTGAAATGTGAGCCTTTGAGTTTTGTTGCTCTGATCTGCAGGCCAGTAGAGCTCCCTAAATCAAAGTTCCCAACGAGATACTCACACATTTCAACAGAACACCCTGCAAGCCAGCTAAGCTCTTTGCCTGCCTCATTACAGAGCATGTTTTCAAATCCTTTAATCATCTCTTTGGCTTTTCTCTAAGCTTCTGCAACTTTTTTTTGCCAGACACAAGCAGGCAGGACACAAGGCTCTGGCAGTGTCTGCACAGGCACCAAATACAACAGCAGCAGAACATCCCTCAAGTAAAACCACAGCAGCTCTTTTGGTCACAATAGCATCTCCCACTGCTTCCAAGAAAATAAGTTGGTATTTTTATTTCCAGCACTGGGAGCAGGAAAGATGATGGCTTTGGGACATCCATGGACAGACACACACACACCCAGCAAGGGCCACAGCCAAGGGGGAGGCACAGGGAGCACTCCTGGGGTGGGCTTCACCTTGGGTCATAAGAGGGAAGGAGTCTGTAGCTGTGCCTCATCATTGTGGGCTGCAGGAATACCTATGAGCCTGGCAAAACTCATTTCTGCTCCACAAATGCCTCCCCAAGGCACCAGGCAGCTGAGAAATGGCTTTGGCTGTACCTGCAGCTGAAACATCATTAAGTGAGTGCCTGGAAAAAAACCCCAAAATCTCTCTTTTCCCCTCCACACTCAAATTTCTGTTTCCTTCTTTACCCCTGTCTGGTAAAATGGTTTCCTGTTACAAATTGTAGCAACTGTCACAGCCAGACATTACACTTCTGCAGCTTCCTCCCTGCCTGCCTGCAGGCTCCCTGAGCTGCTGGGCACAGAGAGGCTCAGCTTGCCCAGCCCCACAGATGGACACAGAAGTGCCCACCACGCTCCACCACCATCCTAAAGCACCTCTGGACTCACCACTGGGATCCCAGAACAACACTCCTGGCTACTCACTCATGCTTCATTACTTACTTCAGACTTCAGAAGGCAAAACTTTCCATTTCATAGCTTTGAGGGCTGTGGTTGTTTATTCGGGCTTATTCCCCATTTTTCTCTAAGTCCAATTCTAAGGCCTTTTGTGCAAGGTGTTGTCCATTTGCTGTAATCAAAGGCACTCCCTCAACAATCCTGTGACACCCAAAGAGCTCAGCGGAATAAATCTCAAGGACTCAAGGGACAAAATTATTGCTGCTGTTTGGGTCACCCCAGGAGAAAGAGTACCAAATCCAGCATCAGGGTCCTGCTGTGCCAGGCATGCACACACCTGTCAGGCTAAGCCAGTCCCTGCCCTAAAATTCCTGCACTCAAACAGGCAGAGAGGAAGGGTGCAGAAATGCATGAACAGAAAAAAATGCATCAAGTCATTGCAAGTGAGAGGTGCAATCAGCCACCAGCCCACCCCATGCTTTGCCATGGCTGAGCAATGCAAGGATCCAGATGCAGTTGGAAAAACTACACACTTGGAGGGTTTAACACCTGAGTTTTTATGGGCACTTCCAGTTTCTTCTCCATGCTTTCTCAAGATCAACTGGGAGCCCAGCAGCAGCTGCAGGGAACAGCGTGGTCAGCCAGGACTTCCCCTGGGCCTCATGTCTGTAGCACATTGCCACAGAGGACAGCCTCACAGACTGGCTGTGTGACAGGGGCCACTGGTCCAGGGCCAGCAGACCTGGATCATCACCCCAGATCACCCAGAGAGGACGGCAGGTGAAGCCCTACTCCCCCAGACCTGTGCTGCCCTCCAGAACAGTTCTGACACAGAGGTGCAGGGCCCTGTAAATCCTGTAAATCCAGCTCCATCCCCTCTGTCCACAGACAAGGGGGGCAGCTGTGAGGTGATCTGGCAGCAGCCAAGTGGCTCCAGCTCAGGGAATTCAGGGATCCCTGGGGATACCCATCAAAAAGCCTTAGCTGCCATCCAGCTCCGGGGTTTGGGGTGGGGTGGCTGTGCTGGGGAGACTCAGCCCATGGTGGTCTGTGGCAGTGCTTGGGCACATGTGGCCCTGGGGCTGGGCTCCACACAAGCAGGAGCAGCACAGCAAGTGCCCAGGAACGGGGCTGTTCTCTGTCCTAGCACAGGCTCAGTGGGGCAAGGCTCTCCCTTGCACACCCGGAGCAGATCCTGCCCCTCTGTGCTCACAGGCTGCCAGCAGCCACCTCCACATCCTGCCCCTGGTCAGAGAAACCAAAGTTCCTCCGGTCCTACATGTTTTGGCAAAACTGAAGGTGAGCCTGGCAGAAACCAGCCCCACCCCAGTGAAACCCGAGGCAGGGATGCTGCACTGGGCTGCTTATCCCTTCTGCTCATGAGCATCGGTGCTAATGGGTGAAGTTGCCCACGCTCTCTGCTCATTTGCTGCAGAAACTCCCCTTCCCACAAACCCTCTGGCCATCTCACACACCTTCTAAAGCCAAATGATCACACAGAGGACCTGGGGCTTCAGACGCTGCGGGGAGCCAGCCAGGCATGGCCCAGCAGCCCGAGATGCAAGGGAAGAGTTCCTGACACAGGGACTGGCAGCAGCCTGGGGACCAGATTTCACAGGCAGCACAGGAAGGCTCTGAGGAGCGAGGATGGACATCCCAGATGTCTGAAATTGCAGGGCATGTCCTGCCTTCCCCACCAAAATGCTTGCCCAGCAGTATTGGTGCAGTATCATCCTCTTTGCAGGGAGAAGCACAAAGGCAACTTCGCTGCTCAGGCAGCTTGGGGAAAGAAAGACTTTTAAAAGTAAGGCCATAATGAATATGCTGCATGCACGTGTGCTCGGCTCCCAAGCTGCACAGCCCAGAGCTCTGGGGAAGTGGCATGGGCTGCTTAGGATTTTCAGCTTGCCTGCTCCTACAGCAGACACTCACACTGGTGCTGTAGTAGGTACCAAGAGCAGGAAAGGAAGCAAGAAAAAACAGGAATTGCCCAGACAGAATCCAAGCCCTGTGAGCCTGGGGTGAGGTGATCAGCAAAAAGACTTTTGCTGGGGAGGTGGTAACGTAGAGAAGGAGGACAAACCTGGCCACCCTCTGAGGATCTGAGATTCTTCTCCAGCTCTGATTCTCAGCCCCTGGGTAACCTGGGAAAGTCACTGAATTTAGTTTTACCCGTGTGAAAATGCTTCTTTCTCTTTCTCCAAAAATAGCACCAAACCACTGGGCAGGCACTGTCCTGGCCCAACAAACACCCAGCAGGACAAAGTGTCAGTTGCATAAAAGTCAAGTTTCTGGTACCCACTGCCTGACAGCAACAGGAGGATAAAGGATTCTGGCTACCAACAAGCATTTAGTAAAAAATAACTTCACAGTGTAAAACTTTACTCCTGCACAGGACTTGTAATTGCAACCACCACCACAGCCAGGAGGTTCTCTGCAGAGTGAGTGAGGCTGGCAGAGTTGAGCTTCTGCTCTACACAGACAAAGATGTTAATAACCATGAAATTACCCTTCCCCTTTAAAAAAGGAAGCCAAACTGCACGATTCCTGAAGCTGTTTTTCTTTATCTCCACTCTATGTTTCCTGCCATCCCATTAGGGCTGAGTTCCAAGCATCTGCACCATCCTTGTCTCTCAGCAACACAATTATCCTGGAATTTATTTTTTTTAGAATAACTAAACAGTATTGTTTTTTTCTGGTGCCAAAGAAAGCGGGTCAAGGAAAGAGACAGGTATATGACACTGTATTTCCCATAGAGTTGAGAAATTTAGAGCAAGTTTATAAGCAACCCACTGCTGACAGTTAAAGCACACAGTTAAACCAAATCATACAGGCCAGCATTGTTAATAGTTGACCAATTATTGATCTTCCAAAACCAATCTTTCCCATTTCTCATGCAATGTGTGTTAACAAAATTGAATTCAGTGAAAATGAATTCAGCATATTCTGCTTTACTCCAGAGACCCTGGTCAGAAGATGGAAGATTTTCCCCTATTCCTCAGGCTTCATTAATAATAATCAACTGAACATATAAAAGGAAGGAAAAATTTTTCTTTGCAGGGAATTAGCACAGAATTATATGGCTGTGACACCAGAACACTGGGCTAGTCACCCACCTCTGTGACTAACCCCAGACTCTGTCATCATGCAAGACACGAGGGTGATTTTTCTCTCGGTATCTCAGGGCAGGAGGGTGCAGAGGCTTCAGCGACTCAGCCTAATTCCTTGCGACC